ATGTTGAAGCTGGGACATCAGTGAGGAGGCCAAGGGGCAGAAGTCAGAGTGGATGTTTCCTCTCCCCACAGACATCTTGCATCAACATCCAAACAAAAACTGTGTGCAGTTAACGCTGAAGTCCCACATCCCTGTCATAGGTTGGTGGTTTCAGAAGGGAAAGGCATGAAAAGGCATGTTCTCCTTTATCTCCATTTCTAAAATTTAATTCTTCCAGTCCTGGACAGATATGGGGATGTTTCCTGCTTCCCTGTCCCTTCTTTCACTTCATTTCTCTGTCTCTATTCCCAGGACAGGGACCACCTCTACCCTCCCACTCTCTCCTGGCCAATGCCAGGGACTTTGTCTCCCTGAGACACACCCCACCATCCCCATCTTCTCCAGGGAGCTTTGCAGATCCTCCAGGCCTCCCTTTTCTCCCCCACCAGCCCTACTTCTTTCCTCTCTGTCTGAGAGATCAGTCATCGAGGGTGTCAACGCACACGCACCCGACTCCCCCGGGAGGATGGGGAGCTGAGGCTGGGGGTGGTGTTCTGCTGCGAGAAGGCAAAGCTGCCATCAGCAGCCGCTTTGATCTGGAGACAATTACAGACGAGTGTAGGACCCTGCTCCACTCAGCCAATAAATAATGGAATTTCTGTGTTGACACAGACAGATTTCCCCCAAACTGTCAGAGAAGGGGAGACAGAGTGAGTGAACAGAAGCCCGAGAGGCTGGAGGGAAGGGGAGAGAAGCAGGAAGGGGAAGGAATGAAGTGGGCCTGTGGGAAAAGAGGGAGAAGGGAGAAAAAAAGAAGTTTGGGAAGGCAACACTGATGGGGGGAGCTGGGCATGGATGAGAAGAAGCCTAAGGAACACATATTTGTAGAGGGGAAGGAAAATCAAGACAGGAACTGTGGGTGGAAAGGCGGGGGGGTGGGGGGGGGGAGTGCTGCATACGCAGCTGGAAGCAGAGGGAAAAAAATCTGAAGGTGGAAAAGAAAGAGAAGGAGGAACAAAGGCATGGCAGTGTCCCCGGGGCTCCCCGGCTGCCTGGCAGATCACACGCTCTCCGAGCAGGGACCATATTCCCGCAGCCCTGACCCCCCCGAGGCTCTCAGCACTGCGGAGCCGGCCATGGCAGGCATGCATGAGTTGGTGAAATGGTGCCACTGGTGTGCAGCCAACAGCAGAAATTTGCTCTGAGATCACAAGTCCCTGAAAAACCTCCTGCGGATGGCCTGTCCCCATGCTCCCCCTGCTCCTCCCCATCTCCCTCTCCCTGCTCCCTCTCCAGCCTGGAGCTGTTTGTTCTCTGGCTGGTGATGGTTTTGTACTTCACTTACAACAAAGCAAAACCTCCCTTGTGCTCAGGAGCCCCACACCGAGCCCAGCAGAAACCATCCATCCAGCAATCCTCCAACCTGGATGTGGCAACAGACCTGAGAGGGACGGGGAGGCACTGGGGTTGTCTCCTTCCTCCCAGTTTGGAACACTCAAGAGCCCTACTTGTTCCCTCTTGGCCCCATCTGTGGCCTGAGCTGGCTCAGCCTCAGAAATTTTGTGTGATGAGTATGGCCCAGCTTGCTGAGGTCTCCAGGCCAAGCACCACCTCACTGTGGGTGTCCCTGGCTCCCAGCTTGATCCTATTTGCAAAAGCTGGCATCCAAGTTTCCCATCCAGGCCCCAGATGGGAAGCAAATACCTCCCAGTCCAGGCATTCTCCCTTCTGTAAATCTCCACCTTGCCCTATCTCTGCCTCCCACCCCTTCCTCAACCAATGCCCAGAGAAGCTGTGGCTGCTCCATCCCTGGAAGTGTCCAAGGCCAGACTGGATGGGGCTTGGAGCAACCTGGTCTGGTGGAAGGTGTCCATGCCCATGGCAGGGCATTGGAACTGGCTGATCTTTAAGGTCCCTTCCAACCAAAACCATTCCAGGATCCTGTGATTCCTATTCTCTTTTTCAGCAACCCCAGCTCTAATCAGAGGCTGAAGCTTTGCCCCTGCACAGATCAGATTCTCCCCTTGCTGCCCCCACACGAGGAAGGCAGGACAGGATGCAGATGTGGCCAAGCACTGATTGATCCAGGTGGCTCTCAGTACACAGCTTTCCAGAGAGCTGGGCCAGGGCAGGAATACTGGCTCTGGAGTTGTGTGGGATGGTGCCACAGCACTGATGGGACTGATGGGAGCATGGGACACCCAGGAGCCTCGGCAGGGCAGGGGTTGGTGGCACAGACCCCTGGCACCACTGCACCAGGTCAAAACCAGGCAGGAGGGAGGATTTCTGGGGATATTGCCTATGGATGTTGTTCAGCTTTAACGCTGGCAAATGGCAGGAATGCCTGCCTAACTGGGGCAGCAGTAGCTCCTGGCCTGAGCAGTGGGAGGACTGGAGCTCCTGCCAAGCACTTAAATCTTTCAGGACGTAAAACTGGTGTAAATTGCTGAAAAAACAGGTCTTTCTGCTAATAAAGTCAGAGGGAATGATTCAGTTAGGCCAGACAGGGTAACACACAGGGCCAGGCTGGGACCACTTCTCCAGAATCACTTCAGGTCCCTGGTCCCAGTCATCTTACTGGCATGGTGGGAATACTGCTGCTGCTCCTCTAGTCCCAAGCAGGATGCGTAGAGACAGGAAGGTGGATCAGCAGAAGACAGCAGGGTTGAGGAAGTGCCCAGAAGCCTCCTAGGGTGCCCAGGAAGGAAAGAAAGAGCAGGTGGGTATTTATGCTCAGCCCCTCCATGAGGCCTCAGCCCTTCCTCCCAGGATGAGGCCAGGGAAGATGTCAGGGAGAGAAGAATTTGAGGTGGCAAGACAGATTTATGTTTTTCTGGGGTCTGCTGTGACACCTGAGTATTTCTACAACACTATCATGAACATTTAGCAGGATGGAGACGAGGGAGGCTCAAGCTGAGCAGAGTCCCCAGCCTTCCTCCAGGTCCTCCATCCCACAGGTCACACGGAACTTGCACCTCTGCCCAGGCACTGGGAACAAGCACCAGGCTGGCTCCAGGCACCTCAAAGCACTTCCACACTGAGAGCAGGCAGGACATCCCAGCCTGGATGAGCAAACCATGCAACACATCTCTCCTTACTCCACCAGATCCCAGTTTTAACTTGTGGAAGAGCTAATGAGAACCAGTAGGGACACAGCACCCTGGCCTTGTTCACTGGTGAGAAGGGGAGCTACAGAGCTGGGTCTTCTCTCTTTCCAAGTAAAACCCCAAGTCCTGACCCATATGGGCACATCCAGCACCTTAAATTCAACATGGAGATGGCAAATGCTAACAAGGAGTCATGGAGAATCACTGCTCCAGACTGGGGGCTGAGAGCCAAGAGTTAACACCTTGCTAAGCAGTGGTAGGAGCAAAGGGTTAACACAACTGGTACAGGGAATGTTATCTGTCTCTTCTCTAAATATTATTTCCTCCCATGAAACCAGCTTTTCATCCTTGGCTAGAGGCAGCTCCCGCTGCTGGGAATCCAGCAGGAGCTTGTATCTGCTGCCGCACACACCACTGCTCCCAGCAAGCTGCCGAGACAAAGAGCTGTGCTCCCCTGGCGTGAGCAGCCCCAGCACGGGGAGCTGGGGCTGGGGCTTTGGCCCCCAGCGTGCAGGTGGCCTCGGGAATGACAGGCTTTACACCAAAGAGGAATCTCGTTATTGAAAGCACTGCGCTGTGGAGGGATTTCCTCCCTGTCTTGCAGAGACTGAGAGCGGCATGCAGGGACAGGCAGGGCCCAGTGGCAGGAGGCTGTGCAAACCTCACCACTACCCCAGGAAAGTTTCTGTGGGGCTGCCCATTTCACACCTCGCCCCTTGGTTGTGCCAGGATGGATAAGAAGATCAGGATACACCGTGGGAAAACCAAGACAGCAGTCACTGGCACCAAGGTCAAAAGCTGGAAAAGATAGGGGGTGCAGGGCAGCCTCTGCCCCTTCTCAGCAGCATCAACTGAAGGGCTGCATTGAGGGGCTGGCTGGCTGCAAAGCTGGTGGCTGAAATAAAATGGCTGCTGCTAAATCTTCTCTGAAACATCCTAAACTTTTAATGTGCATGAAACCACGGCAGCATCCCTTTCGCACCCCGGAGGGCACAAAGGCGCGAGCGTCTCCGCTCTCCCATTCAGCCGGAGCCACGTGCTGCAGCCTGAACAGCACCAGGAACGTGGCTGGAATGAAAGTCGCCCTCCCAGCCCGTGTGCTCAGAGAGCCAAAGTCAAAGGATTGCCAAGTTAAAAGGGTCAAACCTCCAAGGACAGCTGTATCTGACTGGCTATATATCATTTCAATAGCATCTTCAACGGGGATTATAATCTGAATTGAAGCGGAAAGACCTGAGGCAATGAAGCTGTCAGCAGGCTAAGATTAAGGAATTAAAACAGCAGCACAACATTACAGGATTTGTTCTAGATGTATTAGAAAGAGCAGGCTAAACACTGCAGCCTTCCCCAGGCTGGAAATTTCATACGAGCACGGAGAAGGGCAAGCGCAAGGATTTCATCAATATACATAAAAAGAGAGAGGAGAGAGAGATAGAGCTACGAAAACCCAGCCATGCAAAATATAAATCCTAACTGCAGACGGAAATGAGTCACACAAGGTTTGACTGAGGTAAATAAAAGCAGAAATGAAGTGGATTTAGGGGAAGGCAGAGGTGAAAAGACACTGACAGCCAGTAGACAGGAAAAAAATGGCCCTTAATACACTAAGGCTGGTAAAATCTGGAATGCAGCCCAGCCTGTCTTGGATTGCCTGATGAGAAGGAAGGTCCCCAGCCCTGAACTCCCTTCCCCTTCCATATTCTTACACCCATCTCCAGAATTACTTAAAAAAGCCAAGAATGATGGCAATGGTCTGCCTAGGGCAGCTGGGAGCTGAGCCAAGAGAGGAAGGCACACACCTCACCTCTGCCACCATTGGGTCCCCAGAAGGCCACCCCAGCTCTGTGCTGCTGGGAGACACTAGCAACTCTTCAAAGCTCTCAAAATAAAGAAGGCATCAAACCCCCATCAAAGGGCCATTAAAACATTCCATTTATTTCTGGCAAGTTGCACACACTTTTCTTTCATTGGCTCTATCCTAGGCCAGCCATGGGGAGGAATTTCTCCCCTATCTTAAAGATAACTGAAATTATGGGCTAAAACACAAAGAAAAGAAGGGAAGTCTCCCTTGCAGATAAAACACACAGGAAAGTTTCAGCAACCCAGACTCCATGCAGCCACCAGCTCTGCTCAGCACAAGCCATAAAGATGCACTTCTCACACTGCTTGCTGTGGCACATTTCCTTCATTACGAGCCTAAAAGCAAGTGAATCCCTCCCAGCATCTCAAACACAGCTTGGGTGACAAGTAGGGCCTGGTTGACAACTAGATTAATCCTGAACCAGGCCACCTGTGCAGAATGTGCACTTTATTGACAAAAAAATGTACCCAACAGAGCACTTCCCTGCACACATACGGCCACAGAGCAGTCAGATCTAGGACACAGAAGGAGAAGGGAAGCTAATGAGAGGCAGAGCTTGATCTGCAGCACAGGTAGAGTATGGAATTGCTTTTCAACTCTTCCAGCCAACTTCTACTGGGAGATTTACATACAAGTCCTCAATCAAGTCTTTGAAGAATTATCCAGAGTTCCCTGGGTAAAAACAACCTGTTTAGAGAAAGAGGAGAGTCCGGAGCTGTTCAGTGGTTCTTTTTGGTTGAGCCAAAACCAGAGAAACCCATCACAGCTGCCATTTCATCATCCTCTTCAAAGGTCAAATCTTCCTCCGCCCGCCTCTTCTTCTCTCTCTGCTTCTCCTTCTTGTAGGCTTTGGCCTTCTCCTCCTGCAGAAAGGGACACAACAGCAAAACAATTTGCACTTCCTGAGCTGAAGGAGTTTTGAGACACCAGGTACTGCACAATTACCACAAATCCTGCCCACGGTAGCCAAGCTGTGCCTGAGGAAATAAACAGCAGAAATCCTGGCCTATAGTCTTCAGAGAGGAAGCTCACTGGTGAATCCAGACCACCCCATTTCCCAGGCCAAGAGCAGAGACACACAAACAGGCAAAATGAAGCATTATCAAACTCTCTCTTCTGAGCAAACATCACAGGTTTTGCCTGGAATCAAGGCTGAGACAAGGAGCTGGTTAGAAAGCAGGAGGCCATTCCCTTGTCCGATGTGTCATGCCAGCGACTGTGATGCCTGCTGGCTCTCAGCCTGGCATAGTGACAGCTGCTCACTGGAACAGAAGCTGAAGCTCTGAGTGGCTTTGAGGGGGGTTTTGGCATCAAAGAGTTTGCACTGCTCTAATCAAAGTGTTTTGCTCTGTGAGGATCATGAGCCCTGGAACAGAGCCAGGTTTGTACTGGGGGACATCGAAGCATGGCTTCAGCTCCCAACTTAGCAACTGCTCCCACTATTCTCATCCCTGTCCACAGTGCTCCTGAACACAGCCATGCCCTGGAGAAAGCTACATCAGGAGTTGCTGCTGATTTCCTTCTTGCTATCCATTGACTGGCAGCAGCTTTCCAACCCACAGCACCCCCTTTGCTGCTGGGGCACCTTCCTCCTATCCCCCAAACAGATGGGGCTCAGCAGCACCACAGCCTGCCCAAAAGCAGAGGACAGGGCTGCTCTGTGAGCACCCCAACGAGCTCCCCTGTGGTGAAGCAAAGATCAGGGCTTGGGCAGGGAGACTCAAAGAGGCAGTAACCTTGGGTTATGTGGCTGCTGATAGAGGAGAAGCACCCATAGAAGCTTCTCAGCTGTCAGAACTTAATGGGGTCTTCACATAATTGATTTCCATGTTTACTAACATCTAAGTGCCAGTTTGAGAGAAATCTGCTGCCTTTTATCACCTCCTCACACATTGTGCACCACAGCACACCATTCAGAAAGCCCTTCTACACTTGGGGAGGCCACACAGAAGCAAGTGCCCTGTGGAAGAGGATTCCAGCACTCGTAAGAGCTAGAAGATAATGGATGAAGATCTGCTACCAGACCACACAAGTTCCAACACAACTAGTAGGGGACAAAAAATGGACTTGTGCTGTTCTGAGTGGAAATCTGAACTATCAAAGTTATTCTCACACAGAAAGAGGGGAAAAGGGTTTCCAGGGACAGCAATACAAAGTTTTCAAAAGCAGAAAAACAAATCCCACTCATAGGAGCAGATGAGAAGCCCATGCTACCAAGAACAACGTTTCTGAGGAATAAGAGTAGGAACCAGGGTTGATTTCCGCCCAAAACATGTTTCTGGGGAAGCTTTGCTTCCTCAGTTGTTGCCCAGACTCACCTCCTCACGGAGTTCCTTCATCCTCTCCTCAAAGTCATAATCCTTCTGCTTCTCCTCCATCTTCTTCTTGTTCACCTCAAAGCGTTTCTTCACCTGGTCCAGTGTGGAACGCTCCACCCGCATGGACATGCCCAGATTCCTCTGGTCTGGAGGACACGAGTGGAATCAGCAGTGTTCTGCACAAAGTCTCCATCCCTGACCCCAATTTAAACAGCACAGCACCACCTTCCTGCCTGTCATCCCTCTCAAAGCACCTTCCAGGGCCACACTAAGGATTTCTTAGGCTGGGGAGGTGGGCTTTAGGGGGATACCATAACCCACACAAGCAATGGCCATAACAATCCAAACATTTCTTGTAACAAGAACACAGACTATTCTTTAAAGGTTCCTTATTTGGATGCTCCCTGTCATTTGCTCTGATGCCTCAGGAAATTTAATCTTGGACTAGTGGAATAAAAAAGGGTTGGAGTGTTGAAAAAGGAGCCAGAATAAAACTGACAGGCTGGCATCTCTCAGCTGTGGGCGATGCTAAACAAGACATGAGTGGCACTCAGAGATCCTGATTATACAGGACATTCCCAGCTAAAGCAGAGAATATAAAGTCAGGCCTCTGATTCAGTGGCTCTTCAGAGCAGATTCACAGTTTTTCACTTGTGGGTAAGCCTATGCTGACGGGGCCACCCCCAGAAATGCCTCCAACCCACAGTCCTAAGTGGAACCAAACAGCCTTTTCACTCCAGCAGCGCTGCACAGATTTGTCCCAGGGATGCAGCAGCACTTGGAAGCTTAAACTACACACCAGGAATTAGTAAAAGGGCTGCCAAGAACAAGCAGGTTTGAGCCAGATTTATTGACAGGTCTAAAAGTTCCCAGACATACTCATATACTAAGGTATTGTGCAACCAGCCACTTTCCAATCCCAGCTCAACCTTACAACTCATGCCAGTCCAGGATTTTTGATTCCAGATTCTCTCATATGAACCTCTTGCTCATTTCCCAACATGTCAAACAAGGCATTTCAGCACCTTCCTCCCATCCACATAAAAGCACAGGTTTTTAAAACACTGTGTTTTCTTTTCTGAGTTACAGAAAAAAAGTCCTCAGGTTTCTACTGCACCTCCTCCTCTCAAACAGCCCCGTGTGCAGGTCTGGAGCACACACATCCCTGCCTTTTTGTAAAAGGGTGATTTTCTGACTTCCACTAGGAGCCAAAAAATACCTTCATGAGCAGGAACAACATGTGTCAGTCTGTTTTAGTTTCTCTACATTCCCTCTCTCTGAACATGTCAAGGAGAAGCAGTATCTACAGACAGATCAAGGAGGATATAGTTCTGATCCATACTCTGGAGCTCAGGCATCAGCCAGTTCTGGGCTTTACACTCAACTCCTACAAAGAGAGGTTTCTGATCCAAAAATAAGCCAGTCCCAGACCTTTTACTTATCTAAGTACTTCTTTACAGTTGCAGTGTTGTAAAAAGCCTCTCTCCAGATTTACAGAGGAGGCACCATGATCTGGGGGGGAACTAAATGACCTCTGAGGGCCCCTTCCAACCCAAACTATTCTAGAATTTTCTCACCCTGGGTTTCTAGCAGCATTGACATGATGGATGGGGAAAATATGTCCATCAACCAGAGTACACCAATCATTGCTTCTGCTGGGCTTATTCCATGAAAATGGCCCAGCACTCTGGAAGGTGTCAGGGGATAAGAGAAGCACTTCCACAGCTCTCATGATGAGCTTCTACATCCTCATCTCCTAAGCTCCCGATCCATGGATAAGTGTTCAGGCCTCAGACATGGGTGATGCACAAAAGGAGCAGTCTCTCCAAATCAACCAGCCCTCCAATGAAGCAAAGAAATGGTCCTTACGTTTTTTGCCATTGATGTGATCCAAGAAGTTGATGGAATCTTTCACCACACAGTCACATACATTACAGTAATACCTGTCAGGAGAGACAGAAAAAATGAACCCTGAAGCATGACACAAAGCTCAACCCACAGAAGAGCTATCTGAGACAATCTGCATGTCACTGGGGATGAAGGACACTTCTCCAAGACAAGAGGGCCCCAGTGAAGAGCAAGGGCATGCTCAATGGGCAGGGCTGCCATGGAGGTACTGACCCTGATACCAACACCGCTCTGATAGAAACCAAATTCTGAGCTGCTCTGCAAGACACCAGCCACAGCATCTTCCCCTTCCAGCCACACTCCGCTGGGTGGGATGGACTTTGTGACACAGCCTGCCCTCCCCCAAGGCAGGGCTGGCCAGCAGCCCAGTTCCATTCCACAGCCTCTCACCTGGCTGCAAGGTAAGTGCTACCATCCCTATCGCTCACAGTGCAACTCCCTGATGAGCACAGCTGGGCCTTCTGCCCATGTTAAGAGCTGCTGCAAAAGTCCAGCCAGGGGCTGAACTGCCATCCTGGGTGCTGGTCAGGGCTGCACATATCCCTGGCACTATGCCCAGGGAGACACTAATAGGTTTGCTCCTGAGGTGACACAAACTCAACACATCTTTTCATGCTTTTGGTGGCTTAGGGTGAGCTCAGAATGCTTTCAGACTTTGGTGGAACACGATTCACACAAACAGTGGCCAAACACCATTCCTAAGAACAGCTGTCTGGATGTTTCTCCCATTTCCAGTGCACAGATACCTAAATCAGCAGCAGTCCTGGTCTCGTGCAAGAAGGCCTGGTTAAAGACACCCAAGCAGGCAGCAGAGATCTGCCTCTGTTGGTCCTACAGGTGGGCAACATTGATACCAAGGAATAATGTCCAAAGGGGCTCAGCCTGCTGGGTCTGTTCCATATGTTACCCCAGGAGACAGTTTAGGTGTAGAAAAATGCAGCCCCACCATCCCAGGCTCCAAACACAGGACAGCAGCTCCTGGTGCCCTGTGAGGGGTCCCTGCTGTGTCACAGCTTCCCAGTCTAACCAGCAAGACTCTGAGACCTCAATAAGGCCACAACCTACCCTCCCATCTCTGACTGAGGGGTAGTTTTGGTGATGACAATGGTTTTCCCCAGCTTGGATTCCAGGTCCACTTTGTAGTCTCGGTGCCGCAGAAGTTCCCTTTTGACAGGCTGAGCTGGTTTGCCTAAAACATAAACCAAAGGTCAAACTTGACATGCTGGATTTGATGTTCCCCTTGGTACAGAGGGGCCTACTAGGTATCTGGGACTACCTGATCCATGCAGAAAATGCACCATTGTTTTTAAATCAGTAAAGGATATAATTTCCTCCCCACTGTTTCCTGGTTCCTATTAGAACCAGGTACATCTCTGAGGTATCTCCAGCTCTGACTTGAGTCATATTCTGACATCTTGTTTCCAGCAACTGACTGCTCCTCTCTGTCCTAGGTTGACTGTATGATGCTTTTATTCTCAATCATCTTCCCCGTTTATGTTGAATAATAAGTTTCACACCTTTAAGCCTTGTTCCAAGAGTGAAGGTGGGGAGAAGAAGCACAGAGTTTGTTTTGAAGAACTGCACTCCCTCCTCCACATTCCTGCTCCTGGACTGTGTCGTCTGTGGACGGACAGACAGCGAGACAGAGCTCTCCTTTGCTTTTCTAGTTAGTTTTAGCTAGCTGAGGCAAAAAAGTTCCCTGGACTGTGGTTTTTTCCCTTTCTCTGGACCTGCTCTGGACTGAACACCAGAAGAGCAGCAGCAGCAGCACCTGTGGCCCAGCAGGCCGGGCCTGGGCCGTGGCATTTCCAGCACCAGAGGGACTGATCAGAGACTGAGTGAGCCCAGCTGCAGCCCAGGGGATTTTTCTGAGTTTGTCTCTCTCTTGGATTGGCAAGAAGTCTTATTGTTTAATATTGTTTAATTTGCTTGTTTAATAAACAGGTTTTTTCCACTTTTCTCCAAGGAGGTATCTTTCCCGAACCGGTAGGGGCAGGGAGGGGCCAATTGAATCTGCTTCCTAGAGGAACCCTTTTGGGGGTTTTTTCCCAAATTTGCCCTGAACCAGGACACCCTCCTTCCCCAAAGAAGAGTCAGTCCCTGGAAAGGTTATCAGTAATTTCTTTTGTCATAAAAATATACTCAGTGCCAAACAAAGGAGAAAGGGAAGGAGCAAGCCAGCTCTTTCCCTTTGGGATTCAACTTCTCGCTGCTCTCTCCCTCTCAAATCCCAAGGGTTTGGGAGCCCCACTGCCAATCCAGTAGAGCTTGCCTGGAGCCAGCACACCACTCACCATCTTTCTTTTCTCTCTCCTCCGTGAGCCGCTTCTCTGCGAGTTTCTCATACTCGTCCTTGTCCCACTTCCGGCGGAAGTCCAGGTTCTTGGTCTGGGAGGGAAACAGAGTTCATTAACATTTATTACACAGTCTGATCACCTCTGAGGGGCTAAAGAGGGAGAATCACTTGGCCTGTGAGGCCAGTGCAGTAAATTAGGAGAATTATATTATATCCCCCGTCATCTGTTTTCCATCCAGGAATTATGGATGTGGTTTAAGATAATCACTCTCAGCATGCCTCTAGCTACTACTAGAATAATTTCAGAGCACTAAAAGAAGAAATGAGTTGATCTTAACAGCTCCTGAGATGATCATCCAGGCTTTTGCCTTGAAAATCAGACTCAAATGGGATTGAAACTGATGGATCTCAGACCTGGGAAGTGGCCCCTGACAAACACAGCAGCAGATTACACCTCCTTCTTGCAGAAGTCAAAAGAATCCAAGCTGCAGTGTCAGACAAAGGAAGCTGCAAAACACAGCCCAAGCTACAGAGAGTTTGATTACACTGCAGGAGCAGGGAAGGCTGGGCCTGTCTGCTCTCAGCAGTGCCAACGTGTTGCAGGCATTAAAGTGCCAAGCTTGCCATGAAATCACAGGCACCAGTGTGGGATTTCCAAGTGAGCACATGTACAAGCAAACCAGAGCAAGCTCTGAAACCCTGTCTGTCAATGCAGGGCTTGGAGGTACCAGGGAAGCACCTATACAAAATCCACATGTTTTGCAGTCCTACTCCTGCAGCTTCACATAGGAAAGGGCAGAAACACCTCCAAGGCATGCTGGCCCTTTGGGAGCTCCACAGAACTATCTGGCAATGACAGGATACTTTAACAGAATCCTGGAATGGTTTGGGTTGAAGGGACCCTAAAAATCATCTTGTTCCACATCCCCTGCCAAAGGTAGGGACACCTTTCACTATCCCAGGTCGCTCGAAGCCCTGTCCAACTTGGCCTTGAACACTTTCAGGGATGGGACAGTCACAGCTTCTCTGGGCAACCCGTGCCAGAGCCTCACCACCCACAGAGGGAAAAATTTTTTCGCACTATTAAATCTAACCCTGTTCTGTGGCAGTGGGAAGCCATTCCCCCTTATCCTGTCACTCCATGCCCTTTTTCAAAGTCCTTCTCCAGCTCTCTTGCAGCCCCTTTAGGCACTGGAAGGACAGAGATTGGTGTTCAGTCTTCCCAGGCTGAACACCCCCAGCTCTGTCTCCACAACAGAGGGGCAGCAGCCCTTGGAGCATATCCATGGCCTCCTCTGGACTCACTCCAACAGGTCCATGCCTTTCCTAGGCTGGGGAACTGGAGCTGGACACAGCATGTGCATGAATATGAATTCAGATGAGGCTGAATTCAGGTGAAACTGGCATAGAAGAAAACAAAGACTACTTTTTTGGGTGGATTTCACTCAGTCCCCAGTGCTGAGGGCAGAAGTGATCAGACAAGAATTCCTGTTCCACTCACATCCACTCTGACCAAGCCAGCTCAAGTCCTTCCCAGCATTTGCCCTATCTGCACCTCAGGCCCCTACACCTGGGATCAGTCATGGTTTCACTCAGCCACTTCCCGAATTTCCTGAGCCAACAGCCCCTCTTTGGAAAGAGCTGCATTTTCCTCAGCATGGCAGGGAGAGCCTCTCAGTTTCACATTAAAGAAAGGACAAGATGTATTTAAAAACACCTCCGGGGGAGAAGGACCCCCCTCACCCCACACCCCACCGCCTTCTCCGTTCAGGCAAATCAAGAATCCAATCACAATCCAAAGGACACAAATCCCATTTGGAGCTACAGCAGCAGCACAGCCATTTAAAGTTCTATCCTCTGGCAATCCTTCAAATGGAACGAACAACTACTGATAGGGATGAAAATGCCTTGGGGAGGCGTAGAAAAATTCTCATTTATTCCCAGAGCTTCTTAAGCACTTTAAGGATGTCGTAACAGGTTTTATTAACCACCCAGAGCAAAAGAAAAGAAAATATCACTGAGTGTAAATTAACGTTTGGGGGTATTTTCCAGACTCTCCTGCATGCCAGGCATTATCACAAACCGTAGCTGGTGGGAGCCTGCAGAGGGGGAGGTTTATTAGCTGCTTCTCTCTCCTGTTGCAATAAAAGGAAAATAGTCTTTTGCAGCTCTTTTACCAATCTGCCTCATCCAGGCGTGGGGAAAGGAATTAAACTAAACTGCGTGACAAGATCTTGGTTGGACAATATTTGAATGGATGTTTCTGAATTGCTCTGGTGGAGGCAAGGGGGCTGCAGGCCCCAAAATCATTATCTCAGAGCTGTTTTAAATGACAGAGAATACTTCCCAAATTAATAACAGTGATTAATAACCAGAAGTGCCCCACAGCCTCCTGTTCCCTCTGGAGATGGACACCAATGATGTGCCCAGTATCAGCAGCAAAGCCTGTTAAACAACACAGGAGTCTCAAGCCAGGCTCAATCCAACAGGAATTCTCAGCTGACAATAAGCCACAGACCCCACCTCCCTCATAGGCAGACATCCTGCTCCTGACCTCCCCCACTTCATGGAATTAATCCTGGAATGGTTTGGATTGGAAGGAACCTTGAAGATCAGCCAGTCCCTTCTCCCTGCCAAGGGTAGGGACACCTTCCACTATCCCAGGCTGCTCCAAGCTCCATTCAGCTTGGCCTTGAACATTTCCAGGGATGGGGCAGGCACAGCTTCTCTGGTGCCAGTGCCTCACTTCTCAGTAAGTGGCTTCAAGGAAGGAAAGATGGGCCAAAAGCCCTCAAAAACAGAACTCCTGTGCTGCTGACAGCTTTGGGATGTCACTGGAGGTGTTCCAACTCCTCCAGTCTTGGAGGCTCTCCACTGAGGCTACACCTGTAGCAAATACCTTACCCATCCCATTTTAACACTCACAGGATCATTTAGGTTGAAAAAAAACTCTAAAATCATCAAATCCAAGCTGTGATAGATCCCCACCTTGTCACCCACTCCAGAGCACTGAGTGACACATCCAGTCAGTGCTTGAACAGCTCCAGGAATGGTGACTCCACCACTTCCCTGGACAGCCCCTTCCAACACTGGACAGCCCTTTCTGGGGAAAAACTCCTCCTAATTTCCAACCTAAACCTTCTCTACTGCAACTTTAGAGGCTGTTTCCTCTTATCCTGTCGCTGGTTGTCTGGGAGCAGAGCCCAACCCACACCTGGGTGCACTCCAGTCAGGGAATTGCAGAGATGTTTCTCCATCAGGACACGGAAAAAGCCACCCTTTCCCTGGGGAGGGGAGGGAAAGGAGGAGTCACCGGCACCAGCCATGGCCCAGCCCGGGGAGAGGGGGGGTCTCGCCCGGGGGCTGGAGGTGGGTGGGCACCTCCACCCCGGAGCTGCCCCAGCCTCCATCTCCTCATGCTCCCCGGCTGGGACAGGCGGAGGTCCGGCCTCAGGAAGGGAGGATCACGGAACCATTGCGATTGGCGAAGTGCTCTGAGATCATGAAGTCCAACCTGTGACCCAACACCACCGTGTGAACCGGGCCAGGGCACCGAGAGCCGCATTCTGCCGTGCCTCAAACACCGCCGGGCCGGTGACTCCGGGGCTTCACTGTGGGGCCACCCCGCTCGCAGCCCTCAAGGTATCAGGAGAACCCCAACCTCCCACCGCCCACACGGAGAGGAGTAAAGAGCAGAGATGAGCCCCCTCCCCTCCCACACACACCCGCCCACCGCGGCACCCCCGGCCCCGCCACATCCTCGTCCCGCGGCCTGGCAGCGGCCCCGAGCGCAGCGCGGCGGGGCCGTGCCCCCGGCCCTGCCAAGCCCGGTAGGAGCAGCGGGGGCGGCCGAGCGGCCAGCAGCCCGCACTCGGAGGGCAGCCCCGGCGGCAGCACCTACCCCGCTGCCCGACGCCATGGCGAGCCGAGGGCACAGCACCGGGAACTGTCGTGCGGCGCCGTAAAGCGCGGCCGCCCGCGCAGTCACGTGCGCCGCCGCGGTCACGTGCAGCCGCTCCCGGTGTCCCGGTGCCGCCGCTCCCGGTGTCCCGGTACCGGCCATGCTGCGCCTCCCGCCCTTTGCCGCCGCCCGGTGCATACCGGCGGGGCCCCGCCTTGGGCTGCTGTGCCTCGCCGGCAGCTTCGCCCGGTCCCGGCCGCCGGCCGGTGACGGCGGACCCCTGTTCCGGCAGGTGCGGGCGGCGGCGGGCGGTGAGCGGCTGCCGGTGCTGAAGACACCCAAGGTAAAGGCGGGCAGCGGGGGTGGCGCCGGTGGGTAGCGGGTGTTCCCCCGCGCCCTTACCGCTGACGGCCGCTCTCTATCCCGGGCAGGGCACCCGCGATCACCCACCGGCGCAGGCGGCGCTCCGTGAGCGGCTCCTGGGCGCCGTGGTGTCCTGCTTCAAGCGGCACGGGGCGGCCGCCATCGACACCCCCGTGCTGGAGCTGCGGGTGAGGCGCGGCGGGAGCTCTCGTCGCCCTTGGCGTGGGGAGCGGACCCGCCCCGGGGGCCGTGGGCCCCTCTGCTCCCTCCTGTGGGACTGGGGAGCGCCCCTGTCCCCGGGGCTCCGGGGCAGCTCTGGGAGCCCCCTCCGTGTGGGGCATGGCCAGCTGGACATTCACGCTTGGTTCTCTTTTTGGGGGGGACAGGGAGGTGGACTCAGGTCTGGCGGAGCTGGAGGGGGGATGTGTGTATTGCCCGGTTCGTGGGGATCGAGCTCTGTGCCCCATCTCAGGGTCCCTTCACCCCAGAGCCACCCTGGTCACCAGCCCCTTTGCCCCTCCCCAGGAGACGCTGCTGGGGAAGTATGGGGAGCAATCGAAGCTCATCTACGAGCTGCAGGACCAGGGAGGGGAGCTGCTGGCCCTGCGCTATGACCTCACTGTATCCTGTGCTCCCAAGGGGATGGTGGCACCCTGAGGGGATAGTAGCCACCTCTGCCTTGAGGGATCGCTCTTACCCTGGCCTGCCTGCAGGTCCCACTGGGGTGATGGCAGCCCCCTTGGCCATCCCAGCTGGTCTGGCTGTCACTGTCATGACTCAACACCATCTCCCAGCCAGGCCAGGAGAGTCCCTTCCTGTTGTGGACATGCACCAGTATGCTCCACTGTACTGGTTTTATCTCCTCACACTTAAAGTCCCCACTTCTGCTGTGCCCATCCCACCTTGCTAGTTCCACCTGGAAAGGTGTTTGCTGCAAGTGTCCATCCCAGGCCTTCTCAACCTCCACATCTCAACAAAATCTCTTTCCTTCAGTATCCATATAGCAGTGCCATGCATTGAATTCCTACTGATCCCACTGTGAGAGGGTGGAATGATGAGAGAGGGTCCTTGTGTATGTGATGTTGTAACGCAGTGGGCCTGGAGGAGGAAATGGAGCTGTACCAGCATTGAGGGAGCTCAGGTGGTTCATTGTACTTATTTTCAGCCTGGGAGATGATCTCCCCAGAGATCATAGAGTTATAGAATATCACAAGTTGGAAGGGATCAGCAATAATTGCTGATGTCCAGCTCACGACCCTGCACAGGACACCCCAAGAATCTCACCATGATTGTGAAAAAGTTGGGAAGCAGCTGACAAAGGGAAGGGGTGATGGGAGGCTTTAAGGTTCAACTTGTACAGCTCTGGGGATCTCCATGTTCCCATCCTTAACTCCTCGGGCCAGGTGCCCTTTGCTCGCTACCTGGCCATGAACAAGATCAAAAAGATGAAGCGCTACCACGTCGCCAAAGTGTACAGGAGGGACAACCCGGCCACCACCCGGGGCCGCTACCGCGAGTTCTACCAGTGCGTGAGTGTTGTGGTGGCCACTGCTGCCACCAAGGCCACAAGGCCAGCAGGGTTTTCCCACTCCAGCTGCTGCAGAGCAGCAGGGTGTGTCTGGCTAAGGCCCCCTGGCTCTGCCAGGAGCTCCCATCACTTTTTCTGCCCCCAGGACTTTGACATTGCCGGGCAGTTTGACCCGATGATTCCCGATGCCGAGTGCCTGAAGATCGTGCACGAGATCCTGAGTGACCTGCAGCTCGGGGACTTTGTCATCAAGGTGAGACTGGGTGGCTTCTCTGTGCCACTGTGCAGTGGTCATTGCTCTGTGGTTTTACACAGTAGCACCTGCTCCCACTCTAAGGCCTGCCCAGAAGTTTATCCCATCTCTCTGCTTCCTCATGGTGTATATGCAAAGGCTGGAGCTCAGCTTGGACATGCCTTAAGCTGGGAATACCAGGAGTTCTTCTGAGGTTGCTGTGAGCAGAGTTCTCTCCAGGACTAACCACAGTGCTCTGCAGAATTCCAGCAGCTGACTAGATCCATAGAGACACAGGGTGGTTTTCATACATCGACACCTTCTCTTTGCGTGGAATATGGGTGCTGAGGGAAATACCAACAGCTGCAGCTTCCCACACACTAGGAAAAAAAGAAATTGCATCAGAGGGTGCCCCCAAGTTAAGTGTGCCTCTCCCTCCACCAGGTCAATGACCGTCGGATTTTGAATGGTGTGTTTGCTGTCTGTGGTGTTCCAGAGAGTAAGCTCATACCTGCCTGCTCCACCGTGGACAAGCTGGACAAGGTCAGCATTGGGCTCGTGGGGAGACACTTCTGGTCTTGGGATGGATGTTGTAGGCTGGGCAGTGTTGTGGCTGTTCTTGTTGAGAAGAGTTACACAGCAGCTGAGATGGGGTCTGTAAAGGATTTGAGGAGTTCTTGGGCCTGGTTAAGAACAAAGCCTGGTGATTTGTTAAAATATCCTGTGAGAGAGAGAGGCACAGTTAGTGAGATTGCTGCCTGCTGTTCCACACAAATTGTGCACATGTGGGCTGATGGAGGCAGTGGATGAGGAGAATGTCCTGCAGGAATTGAAGCCCTTCTCTGCTCTACAGGTGCCCTGGGAAGAAGTGAGGAGTGAGATGGTGGGAGAGAAGGGGCTCTCTCCCGAGGCTGCGGATCGCATCGGGGAGTATGTCCAGCTCCATGGTGAGCACCATGGGGTCGTGCCCTTAGCCTGGTTCTGGGCTGGGGATGGAAGGTGCAGGGCACACACCCGGCTGGCTGGGGCCACCATGCCGGGTGCTGCTGCCCTGGCACACCTGAGGCATGGTTGGTCCCCACAGGTGGGCTGGACCTGATCGAGCAGCTTCTGCAGGACCCAAAGCTATCCCAGAACAAGGTGGCCAAGGAAGGGCTGGGGGACATGAAGCTGCTGTTTGAGTACCTGACCCTGTTTGGCATCACGGGGAAGGTGAGGAGGTGTGGGGGCAGGAGGGGCTGCTGCCCTGGCGGGTCCCGAGCAGGCGGTGACGGGGCCGCCCTTGTGCCCTGCAGATCTCCTTCGACCTGAGCCTGGCGCGGGGCCTGGACTATTACACGGGGGTGATCTTTGAGGCTGTGCTGCTGCAGCAGGAGAACGAGCACGTGGAGGAGCCGGTCAGCGTTGGCAGCGTGGCCGGGGGCGGCCGCTACGACGGGCTGGTGGGAATGTTTGATCCCAAGGGCCGGAAGGTGCCCTGTGTGGGGGTCAGCATTGGCATCGAGCGCATCTTCTCCATCCTGGAACAGAGACTGGAGGTAGGTGATGCAGGCAGTGCATTGGGGAAGGCCCTAGGAAGCAAAATACTGTTTATTAGAGGTCTCCAGCTCCACAGTGCTCAAGGGAAAATAATTTTGGGGCTGAGAGTGGCTCTTCCCATGCCTAAATATTGATGCACAGAAGACAGAGTCCTTTTATGCAGCTCATTAGGATGGAGGTGTGGGCAGCTGCATCCGAGGAGATGTCAGGGAAATGTTAGAAACAGCCTTGAGCTCTGTGCCTGGCTTTAAGCTTTGTGCCTCAGTCACTTTATTCTTGTGTCTTTCCTCTTATGTCTTCTGTCCTGGGGATTCTGAAACAATGAATTTGGTAATAGCTCTGAGCTCACTCTAATAAACACCAGGAAAGCCTCTGTGGAGATTCATCATTCTGTGCTTGGTTCCAAGCCTGTGATTCCTTGCAAGTGAAGCTGAGGCAATGTGTTTGTACCTGAAGAATTGAAGGAGACATTGGAAAGCTGTCCAGGAGGTTGGCCAGGGTCCCTAAGGAACAGCAGCACACAATTCAGAATCCCTGGGGGGCTCATTAAAGGTGCCCACGTTGTCACTGTCTGAGTTAAGAGCTGGAGATAGAGGAGTTGAGGTGTTGTGAGCTGCAGATTCCCATGAATGTCCCATGTGTGTCCCTTCAGGCGTCTGGGGAGAAACTTCGAACAACTGAGACCCAAGTGCTGGTGGCTACACCCCAGAAACACCTGCTTGCTGCTAGAATGAAGCTAATCTCTGAACTGTGGGATGCAGGGATCAAGGTAAAGGAGTGACTTGGGCTTGGCAGTGTCACAGGTGAGGGAGGGAGAGCCTGAAGGGAGCTGTAGCACAGCAAGACCCAATTCCATTAGTTGTGTGTCTCTCCAACACCTGGGCCTGTCTGAGATCACAGCATCATTCAGGTTGAAAAAGACCTCCAAGATTGTCAAGTCCAGCTTTTAGATCTAGGCAGGCAGAGAAGAACAGCCCAGAGCAGTAAAGTGATTGCTGCAGGGTTTGGTTTTGGTGCTTTACTGCAGTATCCATCAGAGTGAAAGTTGGGTTAGTGATTCACCCTTCCCATTCCCTCCTAGGCAGAGATGCTGTACAAGAAGGATCCTAAATTGCTGAAGCAGCTGCAGTATTGTGAGGACACAGGGATCCCCCTCGCTGCCATTGTGGGAGAGCAGGAGCTGGCAGATGGAGTTGTCAAGCTGCGAGATGTTGCAACAAGAAAGGAGGTGAGAATGCCCTTTTACACCAGGTTTTAAAGTACTTCCAGACTCTGGAGATCGCTGAAGAGTTCTGGGTTTTCCCTCAGCGTTCTTTGGGAGGCCATAGCTCAGATCTATTGGGTGACTCCAGAAAACCAGCTGCATTGGTATCCTCACTTAGTCCTTAAAAGTGCTCTTCTCTACTGCTGCTGTTTGCTTTGTAGGTTGCTATCCCCAGAGAGAAGCTTATTGATGAGATCAGGAGGAGGCTGGAGCCCTGAGGACTCCTCTGGCTGGAGATGCTTGGCAGAACTGCTGCACATCTGGACCCTCCAGCACCCTCAGCCCCTCACTGCCAGCTGCAGTCTGGTGACATCCACTGGCCTAAGGCTCACTGCCTCTGCTCAGGCAGTGGGAACTGAGGAGTATGGCAGTTTTTAAAGCTATGGACGGTACAGTCACCAGGTTAACCTTCTGATTAGCTTCTCTGAAGGCCAAGTTTGTGGGTTCCTAATCCTGTAGTCCCTGTAGCTGTTCAGCCATTTCCGTCACTGTAGGTGGTGGTGGCACAGATGGATGTGGTGAGGCTGGAGCAGGATCAGGTGGAACTCCACTTTTGGGAGGGGGAATGGTGGTGTGTTGGGGACCTGCCAGCTCAGGGCGAGGGGCAGTGGGAGGGCACCCCCGCCCCTCTGGGGCTGCGGGGGCCGGTCCCGACCCGCGGGCGGGGACGGAGCTGCGGGAGCGCCCTGGAGGACGGACGTGTCCCCTCACCGAGGGACGCAACGAGCAGCCGGGGCGCGCATGGAAACACTATTTTTATATATTAAACAAAACCCGCAATAACAAACCCAGACCGCGCCCTCTGGCTTTCACTTCCCCGCGGCGGCGCTGCGCATGCGCGGCGGCGGCGGGGCGGTGCGCAGGCGCGGCGCGGGCGCAGCCTCGCCATGGCGGAGGAGGCGGCGGTGCGGGCCCAGGCGGAGGCCGTGCGGAGGCTCAAACAGGACAAGGCCGATGCTGAGGAGGTGCGGGGGCTCCGGTGTTCCCGGGAATGGGGTGCTGGGGTTCCGGTGTTCCCGGGAATGGGGTGCTGCGGAGCAGCAGTATGGCTGGGAGCGGCGGGGAATGAGAACTGGGGCGCCGGCTGTGTTGGGATGGGCAAGAGGGGCTTGAGGGAGCGGGGAGCACCGGGGCCGGGCCGGGCGGTGGGTGACAACTGGGGGTGCTGGTGTACAGGGTACTGGTGTACAGGTTACTGGTGTACAGGTTACTGGGCTGGGGCTGGCGGCTTTGGGCAAAGAGGGGTTGGAAAGGATGGGAGTGCAGGGCTGGGAAGTGGAAGGGCTGAGGGTGCAGGGGAGACTCCTGGTGGAAGCCGGTGATAGCAGTGTTAGATTGAAGGGGAGGATGTTTGTGAGGAACTGCTGGGAACCGCTGGTGCGTGTAACAGCTGGTGGTGGTGGGGATAGGAATGGGGAGATAGCTGTGGATGGTAATGGAGGTGGTGGGATGTTTGCGTTGTTGAGATAGGGGTGCTTGATGAAAAGTGGGAAGTGCTGGAGAGCAGCAGGGAGCCTCCCTCGGGTTGCTGAGAAACTGGGAATAGTGGGTGTACTGAGGTTGTGGAGTCCAGGTGCACTGGGAATGCTGTGGTTGAAGGTTCTGGGGAAGGCAGGGGGCTGGGCCTGCTGGGTGGTCTTATCCCCAGCTCCCTCCTTGCTCCATCCCCAGATTGCAAAGGAAGTGGCAAAGCTGCTCGAGATGAAGGCACAGCTGGGGACAGATGAGGGGAAACACAAGTTTGTGCTGAAGACCCCGAAGGTAACTCCTGTCTCCTATGCCCTCTGTATGCATGTCCTCCCCCAGACACACAGCCAGCAGCCCCTACATATCTGTGAGCCAAAGTCCAGCGTGGCCACACCTGTCTTTGTTCACATTTCTGTTTCCACTTTCATTTTTAACAGCAAACGGGGAGGGGAGGGATGAAAACATTTCCTGACAGCATTCAACTCAGACACTCGCTGCCTTAGAGGCTTCTTGGTGACATTCCAACCACTGCTGGTGTGGTCAGGAATTTCCCTTCTAATCAAGCTTTATTGTAGCTGCCCAGTGTGATAGGGTTCATACCTGCCCTTAGTCTGAGGGGCTCATTTACTGACCAGGTCTGGCCAGCTGCTGGAATTTCTGTGTCCTCTTGTGGAAAGATCCTGTCTTCACAAGTAGTTTTTCAGCCTCCAGGCCCCTAAGAATAGTGTCCATAATGCAATTTCTGCTGAAATACTTTGTAACCTGAATATTTCATCACTGGCAGTTGATCGGAGACCACCTGCTTCCATGCTGTGGTGTGAAGACAGTTATGAATCTGTTCACAAACAAACTAGGCTGTGGTGATGCCACTGACACAAGAAATTATAGACACATGGAGTGGTTTGGGTTGGAAAGACCTTAAAGCTCATCTCATTTCACCCCCTGCCATGGGCTGAGACACCTTCCACTATCCCAGGCTGCTCCAAGCCCCATCCAGCCTGGTCTGGGATGCTGCCAGGGATGGGGCTTCCCAGCTTCTCTGGGCAACCTGACAGAGAAGAATTTATTCCCAATATTTTAAAGTCTCAAAACTGTCTCTTTGTTCATTTCCTTTATGATATGTTTTGTTGAATGTAATTGTGGTGTGATGCCTGGAAAGTGGAAGGGTATTTCACTGTTTAAAAGTGTGGAGAAGGGGAGTTTGCAGCCCTGTTGAGTGCCAGAGAAACTCAGTTGAGTTTCCAGCCCATCTCAGGCTTGTCAATGGCAGCTGAAGGCCATCTGAGTGATCTGTGGGTGGGAGTGCTTCCTCATGCCTAACTGGGTTGATAAACTGGAAGTTGGAGATCTAGCTAATAACAATGATTTTTATGTTAGTGAGAGCATAAAGGTGGTAATTGAAATAATTCAGTGGTCCTTGACACCAAAGAAATAGAAAGGGTGCTGTCTGTCCTCTGTTTCCACCTTTGGGGTGGCTCACTGAGTGGGGATCTGGCTAATAGTTCTGCATCAGAGCTGAGGACAGGTCCTGGTTGCACTGTCAGGCTCAAAAGCACTGAACTCTGACTGCTGGATCTGTTTTATCTCCTTTGTTTCCTGTACTGTGAAACTCCTGACTTAGGTTTTGCTCTGCGGACCATGGCAGACTCTGTCTGAGCTGTGTCCTGATGTTTTCCAACGTTTTTAGTGCTGTTTACCAATATCTGGTGTCTGGACCTGTCTCTCTGGCTTTGTTACGAATATGGCACCTTCTTCATATTGCCTCTGGCATCTTTCTCATGTCATGCCTCTAACCCAAAGTGTCCTTTGCTCTTTTTCTTCCCTCATCCCAGGGCACGCGGGATTTCGGCCCCAAGGAAATGGCCATCCGTGAGAGGGCCTTCAAAGCCATCATCTCGTGCTTCAAGCGCCACGGGGCCGAAGTCATCGACACGCCGGTGTTCGAGCTGAAGGTGGGTAAGGACACAGCAGGTTGGCTCAGCTGCTGACGATCCTGCAGCTCAAAGTGTTGAGGGTTCAGTTTCCTTCTTCCCTTCCTAGGCATTCTCCCTTTCTCTCCTTGTTTTCTGTGTGCTCTAGGGCTGATCCCCTGTCACTGAAGATGCCATTTGTTCGTGTGTTGTTTTGTTGTAGGAGACACTGACAGGGAAATACGGTGAAGACTCGAAGCTCATCTATGATCTGAAGGATCAGGGAGGAGAGCTGCTGTCCCTACGCTATGACCTGACAGTATCCTGCCACAGCTGGTGCTGGGGGGCCTTTGCAGTCCTCCTTTTGGGAGGACTTACTGTCCTGAGGGGGAGGAGGGACCCCAAACTGACCAGGAGAGCATGAGCAGGCAGTGTGGTTCAGTGGGTGCAGAGCCCTTGCTCAGTTATTTACTGTGCATTGCTTCTGTTTGGTGAAGAATCGTGGAATATCCTGAGTTGGAAGTGACCCCAAGGATCATTAAGTCCAGCTCATGACCCTGCACAGGACACTCCAAGTGCCTGAGAGCGTTTTCCAAATGCTCTTTGAGGTCTGGTGCCATGACCACTTCCTTGGGGAGCCTGTGTCCTTGCCCAACAACCCTCTGTGGGAAGAACCTTTTCCTGACATCCAGCCTGACCCTCCCCTGACACAGCTTCACTCCCCATGTGTGTGGAAGTACAGAAGATCCATACTGAGTGTGGTTTCTCCCAAGCAGGGTTCCCAGAGCAGACTGCTGCAGTGCACAGCCCACATGGCACTGAGATCCAGCCTAAGGTGGTGCTGGAAGAAGCCTGAAGGGACACTTGGAGGCAGCGTGTGGAGACCTTGGGGAGCTGTGATGAGTCCAGCTGTCTCTCAGCAGTCCTTTGCCCCCAGGGCACTGGTGGGAGACAGTGAGGACCCAGCACTGCCTGTGACTGATACCTGGGGGGGGATGATCCCTCCTTGTTGCCATCCTTAACTCTGTCTCAGGTGCCCTTTGCTCGCTACCTGGCCATGAACAAGATCACCAACATCAAGCGCTACCACATTGCCAAGGTGTACAGGAGGGACAACCCGGCCATGACCAGGGGCCGCTACCGCGAGTTCTACCAGTGTGTGAGTTTGGCTGTGGGCAGGGACCCTGCTGGGACAGGCTGTGGACTGTCAAAGTAACACCCGTGTTACCCTTCCCTGTGCCTGTGGAAAACTCTGAAAGATCCACTAATCTCCATAGTGTGTTTTTGTGAGTGTGAAAAATAACTGGAGAGTGGGTGTGACAGGTGTGACACGGTGCTGGCGTGGTGTGGAACTTTGTCATAGGGCCCCCAGGTATCACCTCCTTTGCACTGCATGGGAGGGCAGCTCCTTGCTCTGTCCCACAGTGCTTGCTGGATGGGTGGTGGGGAAGAATTTCCTTCTGATCCCAAATCTGGCAACAGTTCAGCTCTGAGTGTGTTAGCAGGACATACCAACCAGGCAAATCAGTAGCATACAGCACTTCCCTTCCATGTTTAGTCAATTTAATTTCAAAGGAAGGGAAAACCCAGAGGCCAAATTACAGAAGTAACAAAACAATTTCCTTCGTGGCTCTCTGATGGTAGCCCTAAGGAGCAGCTTTGCTCAGCTCTACTGACACAGTCCCCAGGGACTTATATTGCAAACAATTCCTTTTGTTTGAGAATATTCCTACTTCATTATACAACCCCTGGGAATACCTTCCAGCTTTGGCTTGGTGATTCCTGTTTCCAGATGACTTGGGGTCATTACCTCCTGTCTCATCTACTCCAAGATTCTCACTCCTAGGATAGCTAGAAATGGTCTTCTAATATCCAGGCTAAATGTATTTGTACCTGATTGTTTCCTTCCTCTCATTTAAAGAGGTCAGCTCCCAAAATAGTAGCTATCATCCCTTGATATGTATTCTTTCCCAGGTAAACATTTGGGAAATGTTTAGAGAAATCTTCCCCTCCTTAGACCGTATAAATCAAGCTCTGTTACCTTTGTTACCTTGGATATATTTTCATTCTTTTCTCAGCCAAGACCTTTTCCTGCAGCTTTTCTTCAATATAATTCACCAGCCCCTGGTTTTTTTTCAGTGACATTTCATCTGTGCCATTTACAGCGATATCGGCACTTTCCTGACTTCCTGTACACTTCCTGTACTTCCTCACCCAACTTTCCCAGGGATTGCATCAGCCCTTTTTGCACTCAGCTGATGAGGAATTAACTATATGATCCCATCTCTTCCTCCAATGCCCCAGTTTATTTTGAGACCTTGGTGAAGCCCTGTTGAAATATATCCACATACTGAAAATTATTCTTGAACCCACAATCTCAGTGAATACTTTGCATTTGGGGATTCCTAAACAGGAGCTGAAGAAGCCTTGGGGACTCTCACCTCTCTCTGGAGCAGTGTTTGCTTCTCTCCACACTGGAGAGAAGTCAAAGAAGGGCTCTCTTGTTGCTTCTGTGTTTTATTTCTCTCTGAACACTGATGTTGTTTCCAATCATGGGATACCAGCCTATTAAAGCATCTTGATGTTGGGCTTTGGTTCTTCTATGTGCTAGTTCATTTGGGGATCTCTGGTGGGGACCATTCAGGGTTCGTGATTGCTTTTTCTGTCTTAGGAATTGAAACTCTGGGTTTGCTTCTTTTGCCTTCCCTAATCATTAACTTGATTAGCATGTGTATTAAAAATGCATCCTAAGAATCAAGGCAAAACATTTAGCATTTAAGTCATAGCAAATGAGAAGTAACTTTTATTCCTTTTTCTGGTTTCTTTGTTCTATTTATTTACTGCTGTTCCTCCTTTTTGTTGTTTTTTGAGGATCTCTGTTTCAGAGTGTCATAAAGCAACTGTAGTGTACAAACTCTTTGAAATGCAGTGGACATGAGAGCACTGCTGCCTTCCATGGCAGAGGTCCTAACCCACATCCTGTCCCTTTTGGGTTTAATCTGTAAGGGTTAGTGGTGCCTCACATCCCAGTTCTGTTGGGTTTTGTATACAAACTCCTGTTTCCAGCAGTTGAAGCTGGTTTTCTGCAGCTAAGCTGTGGTGCTGAATCACTCACTGCCTTTGCCTCTGCCCCCAGGACTTTGACATTGCCGGGCAGTTTGACCCGATGATTCCCGATGCCGAGTGCCTGAAGATCGTGCACGAGATCCTGAGTGACCTGCAGCTCGGGGACTTTGTCATCAAGGTGAGACTGGGTGGCTTCTCTGTGCCACTGTGCAGTGGTCATTGCTCTGTGGTTTTTCACAGTAGCACCTGCTCCCTCACTAAGGCCTGGCCCAGAGTTTGTCCCTCCTCTCTGCCTGGAAGCAAACGTGCTTCCCCTTGTTAAAGATTGGGCCTCCACTTGGGTTTGCTTTGAGCTGAGAATGACAGTTTTCCTGAGGCTGCAGCTGACAGTGTTCTCCCCAGAACTAGCCACTGTCCCTTGCAAAATTCCAGCAGCCAGCTAGAATGATAGAATGGTCTGGGTTGGAAGGAACCTTAAATATAATCCACTTCCATTACCCTGCCATGGGCAGGATCACCTTCCACTATCCCAGGTTGCTCCAAACCCTGTCCAGCCTGGTCCTGAACCCTTGCAGGAGTGGGGCAGTCATAGCTTCTCTGGACAACCTGTGCCAGTGCCTCACCACTTCTATAATAAAAAAAATTTCTTCCCAATATCTATCTAGGCAGGTGATTGTCATATTCACTGCCTGCAGTAAAACAGGCTTTGGTCCAGTATTCCTGCCCTTATCCCAGCAGGGGCATCTGCTCAGTGTGTGGTGTTGCCTGCAGACTCCTGCCTTTCCACCAAGTCCTTTTTGGAGCTGAAGCATATTCTAGACCAGGAGTTGTGCCCTACTGTAGGCTGAGCTTGCTATTTGCTTCCAGACACCTCTGTTCCCTTGGGATGGCAGCAAATGGTGCTCGATGTGTAGGTGAGGCAGGATTGGAAAGGTGCACAGGTGCAGTAGAGCAGTGGGTAGGAGTGCTGGATGCACAGGAGGGCAGTGGGATCTATGATGGACCTGGAGCTAGGCCATTCCTGGGCACTGCAGGCTGGGTGTTGTGTTCCTGTTGCAGCCCCATGGAGCAGGGGCCAGGTGCTTCCCCTTGAACCTGTCTGGGGTGAGATGAAGGAACTGGGTGTTTGGGCAGTGGTGAAAGTGGTGCCTTTGAGGATGAAGATGCTCCTGCAATGGGGAGCAACAGAATAACCTGCCTGTGATTATTCTTGTCTCCCACAAGGAACTTTTTGGTTCATGTTGATACTGGAGGATTCCAAATTCCTGTGCAGTGAATATTTGTTTCTGACTAATTGTAGACATTCTCACTACCCATGGAAATATTGAATCCAGCTGAGTCTTTGACCTTAATTGTAATTATTGTATAGCATAATTAAGCTATAGAATTCACTATACTGTCATTAAAAAAGTCCTGATTGAGGATTTAACATAATCAGATGTCCCTTTTCTCTTCTGCTGGTAGTGTAGGGTAATACTCTGAATTCATCTCCTTGGCTCTGGTCTGTTCCCGAGCTGTTTTTACATGTCCACATGCGGGGACTCATAGGCCCTGATTTTTTTTTTTTTTTTTTTTTACTCTGTTGAGTGGAGGTGTCTGTGGCTGTAGAAGGAAATGTGATGGCTCTTCCTAGGCTTGGTAGATGTCAGTTGTGCTATTTGGTCTGCTCTAGGAAGCTCAGCTCCCCAAGAATGGAAAATAAAAATTAAAAATAGCAAAAAAAAACCCTTGACAGATGTCTCCTGTATTCTCTTCCATGCTTCCATGCTTAAAACAGGGGAATGAAGCGGGACATGACTGAAGCATCTGCTTGAGTTTGTAATTCCTGATGTGCTGCTCCCTTTCCCCAGGTTAACGACCGGCGCATCCTTGATGGGATGTTTGCAGTTTGTGGGGTCCCAGACAGCAAATTCCGAACCATCTGCTCCAGCGTTGACAAACTGGATAAGGTATGGGCTGGGGCCCCAGGCTGTATCTGCTGCTGCTGGAGTCTCAGTGAATGAACCATGTTCCATGAGAATTGGCTGGAAAATGCTGATAAGCATCACCTTGTTCCCACCTTTCCCTGGAGGGGATACATGCAGGGCACAGCATTCACATAGGAAGAGTGGATCCTCTGTTTTGTTACCCACTATCCCATGAGGTCTGATAAAAGGAAAGGTGGGAGGGGAAAAAGGTTCTTCACATAGGAGGTTCAATATCTCAAATCTTCACCTGCTCAAGGTGTTGCTGCTTATGAAACAGGCTCATGAAAACCTGCACCAAATTAGGCTAGGGCATGTTAAGAACAGCAGTTTGTGTCTCTTTACATGTGGCCATGGTTCTTTGTTGAAGGGTGAACTGCCTTTTCCTGTGGGGGGCTCATCAGGCAGTCAAATGAAGGCAACTGGAGGAGGTCTCACTCACAGCCCTGTTAACAGAGATCCATTGCAGAGGCATGACCAGAGTTTGGGGTTTGGGGCTGTGTATGTGTGAAAAGGCAATGGGCTGGGGGCATTTGGATTCTTTCTGATGGGATCATTTCCTTGTGATTTATCTCAGTGCAGCTGGATGGGATCAATACTCTGGTTGTCTGACTCGTGGTCAGTGGGAAAACGGCAGCATATTACGCTTACATTGGATTTTTTCCATTACCCAACCAATAGCTCACACATTTCCAGATGATTCCATGACCAGCAACACTTTCCTGAGTGGTATTTATGACTAAGTACCTAACCAGGGAAAGCACAGCAGCAAGATGGGTCTCAGACTTGATGGTTATACAGTGCTGATACTTGATTCTGGCCAGAAATCTAACTACAGGTATTTTTATAGGGTTGAGATACAAACAGGCTGTGCAGAGGTACAAGAAATGGAGTTATGCATACATGACTGTGCTCTGAGAGCTGCTGCTTCTCTCATGCACTTTCTAACCACGATGATGGGATTCTGCCATGCAGAGGAGAGCCTGTGTCCCTGGTCCAGTGGCATATGCTCTTCTCTCCCCTCACAGGTGCCCTGGGAAGAAGTGAGGAGTGAGATGGTGGGAGAGAAGGGGCTCTCTCCCGAGGCTGCGGATCGCATCGGGGAGTATGTCCAGCTCCACGGTGAGCACCACGGGGTCGTGCCCTTAGCCTGGTTCTGGGCTGGGGATGGAAGGTGCAGGGCACACACCCGGCTGGCTGGGGCCACCGTGCCGGGTGCTGCTGCCCTGGCACACCTGAGGCATGGCTGGTCCCCACAGGTGGGCTGGACCTGATCGAGCAGCTTCTGCAGGACCCAAAGCTATCCCAGAACAAGGTGGCCAAGGAAGGGCTGGGGGACATGAAGCTGCTGTTTGAGTACCTGACCCTGTTTGGCATCACGGGGAAGGTGAGGAGGTGTGGGGGCAGGAGGGGCTGCTGCCCTGGCGGGTCCCGAGCAGGCGGTGACGGGGCCGCCCTTGTGCCCTGCAGATCTCCTTCGACCTGAGCCTGGCGCGGGGCCTGGACTATTACACGGGGGTGATCTTTGAGGCTGTGCTGCTGCAGCAGGAGAACGAGCACGTGGAGGAGCCGGTCAGCGTTGGCAGCGTGGCCGGGGGCGGCCGCTACGACGGGCTGGTGGGGATGTTTGATCCCAAGGGCCGGAAGGTGCCCTGTGTGGGGGTCAGCATTGGCATCGAGCGCATCTTCTCCATCCTGGAACAGAGACTGGAGGTAGGTGCCTTTGGTGCTCAGCTCAGCATGGTTAATCCCCGACTCCAGCAGATGCTGAAGTGAGTGTTCCTTGCCCCAGCCTTTGGAGAAGCCAGCCAGGCCTCTGCTGTGCTCTGCATCATGAGTCAGAACCAGGATATAACCTCCAATTCTCTGGCCTGGCAGATGGTGTCTGAGGCTGAAGACAAGACCCTTCTTCCCACAGCCCTCAGACATGGCTTCTCCAGCTGCAGCTGGTGGGGGCACTTTAATCCTCAGCATGGGCAGGTACCTCAATGTTCCCCACTGCACTGGGCATCCACATGAGCCCACATCCTCCTTGGTGAGGCAGCATTGTTCTGCAAGGTAGGCAGCAGCCTCACACATGTGTTTGTCCTGCCTGTGGCATTACAGAGACCAGACAGGTATCACATGTTACAGGGTAGGAACTGCAGTGCCTCTAGGGGTTTCCCAGATATCTTTTTCCTCTTCCCTCTCATCAGAGTTGTACTGCTTCATCCAATGGGTGTTATATAGGTTTTTGTAAGCTCCCAAAATGGGCTACATGTTCCCCTCCCCCAGAAGTCTGGTGTTAGTTCTCTCTTGGGAGCCAGACACAACTGGAATTTCTAAATAAAAACTGAATTCCTCCCCCACCACCTCCAGTCCTGGCCAGGTTTGTTCCTTTGCAGGTGACCTTTTAAAGGTTTCTCCCTTCAGCAAGGCAGCAGGGAAATGCCACATGGAGTATCCAACATCTGCCACAGGGGCTGGTGGAGCATTCAGCTTTCTGCTGTTTAACCCATAGTTAGAACCTCAGCTGTAGAGCAGGCAGCTCTACTGTGTCCACCTTCTCCTGGGTGTGTTGCTTCTAAGCTGCTTGGAGCAGATGTTTAGGAGGCCGTTGGGTGTGGAGAAATTGGAGGGAGGCTGTGTTAAGCATGCATCATGGACAATTGATTCTGCTTTAGGATGGGATCTGTGGGATCTCTGACTGTTGAGTTAAGGCTGTTGATCCCTCTGAGCCCAGTCCTCTTCAGTGAAATATGGATGGAGCTGAGTGTGACCCATCCTGCCCATAGGATCTCAGGTGTCTTGGTATGTCTGTGGCATCTTCTGGGTCCTGTCCCCTCTCTAGGCCTCTGAGGAAAAGATCAGGACAACGGAGACACAGGTGCTAGTGGCCTCTGCCCAAAAGAAGCTCCTTGAAGAGCGATTGAAGCTCATCTCCGAACTGTGGGATGCTGGAATCAAGGTATGACTGTGTGATGGCAAAGTCAAGAGCTGCCTGGTTCACTCTGTCTGGGAATGGACCAGATCTGGCTTTGCTTTGGGAAGGAGTTACAGGGAGCAGGTGGGGAGCAGACTGCCTTCCTGTATGGAGCCTTCCTCTTCTCAGCGTCCCAGATCATGGGCTCTCCAGGGAGGGCTGGGCAGCAGGACTTGGTTAGCCCTATAACTGCACTGCCTTGTTGAACCTGGTGCCCAGCCTTCTCCAGGAGTCCATCGTGTCCCCACCACACAACGTCACACTGGCCAGACTGGCCCAGCAGTGCCTGGTTGAAGGGGTCCAGTCAAACACCCCAGTTTGATGATTTATGCTCTGGCTTTCTCCCAGGCAGAGATGCTGTACAAGAAGAACCCCAAGCTGCTGAATCAGCTGCAGTACTGTGAGGAGACAGGCATCCCTCTTGTCGCCATTGTGGGTGAGCAGGAGCTCAAGGATGGAGTTGTCAAGCTGCGGATCGTGGCAACCAGGGAGGAGGTATGGCCCGTGGCATGGTGGGGTTGGCTATGTGACCTTTCAGCCCAGCTCAAACCAGCCCTCCAGACCCAGTGCTGTTTCCAGCAAGTTCTGTAACACCCCATGTTCCAGTTCCTTGCCCCATGCAGCTTCCTGGAGTCATGAAGTGCTGTTGTTTCCAGCTCTGGGGAGTTTCCTGTAATGTGGCCTCCCTGAACTCCTCAGTTCAGGAGCCTGGAGCATGGAGGGGTGATTCAGTGGCACTCTTGGAATGAGTGAGACTGAACAGAAGTTGGTTAACCCTGAACTGCAGGGCTGCTCCATGCCCGTTACCTCAGGACAGATTCCCAAAACAGGCAGCACTGGAATCAGTGCACAGGTCACTGGCTAAGATCACTACATTGATCAGTAACTTAGGAACCAATAGGAAAGTGTGAGAAGAACATCTTTCTCACAATCATTATGTAGGAGAGGGTTTATTGGGGTTGCTGGCATGTGCCTGCTCTTACAGGTTCAGCTCTGGCTGCTGCAGCCCACTCGATCCCTGTAGAGAGACTGGTGACACCTTGGTGTGACCCCCTGAGACACAGGGCCACGACTGGTGACCTGTCAAACTGCTGGAGTTGTATTGAAGCAACTTTTTGCTCCCCTGTATAGGTCAATGTCCGCAGGGAGAGCCTGGTGGAGGAGATCAGGATACGAACGAGTCAGTGTTAACCCCTTCAGATGCATCTACTCCTTTGCTGGATTCCAGCTGACAGATCTTCCATAAATGCCTTCACCAGACTGTGCAGCAGTGGGTGGAGTGAGAGGGTGACTTTGAAAGCTGTATTTATTCTTGTCTTAAGCCCTTCCTTCCCCGGTGGGAGCCAAGAGGCTGCACTGACTCCTGTGCCATGCCCTGGCTCTTGAGAATGGTGCAGGAAAGATGTTGTGGAAGTGGCTATGGCAGATGCTGGCCACACGTCTGCCACAGCGACCCATGGAGCAGCAAGTCCCGGGGGTTTGGCTGCAGCTTCTTGTTCCCGTCGCTTTGAATAACCATCCCGGCCCATCTCTCTGCCCTGGCTGCAGGGGCTGACCTTATCCCCAGCAAAATGTAATGGCGCTGCTCCCAGAAACATAATAAATCTGTCTGTCCCCTGCTGTGACTCCTGTCTCTGCTTGCTGCTCGGGGCAGGGATTTGCTCACCTGCCTCGTTAAGCCGAAGCTGTTCTTTAAAGGTCATTGTGGATGTTTCTGCAGCCATAACGTTCCCTCCTCCCTCTGGATAGCCCTGGTGCTGCCAGGCCCTGTGACAGGTGCAGAGCCAAACCCCCACATCCCCGTGGGGCTCCACAAGCGACCTCCCCGTCAGAGTGTGACAGAACCCCCATCTACTGGGGGTGGCTCAGGGTCCCCCCCAGACCCCTTCCCTGCTGAGCCACACATTTTGCCTGATGTCCCCAAAACAGGTCAGTTTTTAAACCTGTGGCTCCCTAAACAAGGGTAAGACATGAATAAAGAACAATACATCTTTTCTGTGCACGAAAGTGTAAGACGGGAGTGGCAGGGAAAGCAAGGTAAGAAAGGGCTAGGAAAAGGTAGAACGAGGCAAGGGAGGGAAAATTAAGGCAAGGAAGGGATATGCAAGGCCTCCATTGTCAGACCTTGCCAACCCCTCCCTTGCCCCGTGCGCCCATGGGAGCTCCGGGGAGGTTCTGAGGGAGCCTCGGGCACCATCGCGGCCCGGCCCGGCCAATCACAGCCGCAGGCCATGGCGGCTCGGCCAATCACAGTCACAGGGCATGCCGGCCCGGCCAATCACAGCCGCAGGCCATGGCGGCCCGGCCAATCACAGTCACAGAGCATGCCCAGCCCAGCCAATCACAGTCACAGAGCATGCCCAGCCCAGCCAATCTCGGCCCGTCTGTTCCCGCCTCGCTCATCTCCCTGAGCTCTCCCCTCAGGCCTTGCCTCCGCCGCTCCGAGAGCCGGTCGCGCCCGCTCCCTGCTGTCCCCTCCTTCCCCGGGGAGAATTCCCAGCCAGGGCCCGAATGCGAACGAGGAGCCCCCGCCGGCCCTTCCCGGGCTCCAGAAGCACCTGCCGCAGCGAGGCCACGGTTCCGCCGGCTCCCGGAGCGGCCCCTCAGGCGAACGGCGGGCCCGGGCTGAGGGGCCGGGCCGGGCTGAGCGGGCAGAGCTTGGCGGGACGGAGGCCGGATTGAAAGGGCGGCTGTGATTGGACGAGGCGGAGAAAGGCGGGCCGGGATTGGCGGGGCCGGGCGCTGCCTCCGTCCGGTGGGCGGGGCTTGGACTCTGTGGGGCGCGGCCGCGGCGCTCGGGGCGGGGCGGTGGGGCCGGAGGGCGAGGCCAGGAAGGGTCAGAGAAACCAGACACGGAACAGGCTGGCAAGGGAAGGAAATCAAGGCATTGATGAAGGAAAGGGGAAGGGAGTGGTGAACAGGGCAAGTGAGAGCTTTGTAAGGCAAGGGAGGGGTAGGGAGGAGAAGGCAGGTGAGGCAGAATCAATGGAGGGACAAGGTACATAAGGCAGTGTGAGGGAGTGGTTGAAAGGTGAGGCAAGGCAGAGCACTGGAGCGGCACAGGCTCGGGGCAGAGGGCTGGAAAGCCACCCTGTTGGAAAAGGCCCTGGGAGTGCTGGTTCACAGTGGCTGACCATGAGCCAGTGTGCCCCAGAGGCTCAGGAGGCCAAGGGCATCTGGCCTGTACCTGCTGTAGTGTGACCAGCAGGACCACGCCAGTGACTTCCTCTCTGTCCTGGGTCCAGTTCTGAGCCTGTCACAAGAAAGACTTTGAGGGGCTGTTGCATGTCCAGAGAAAGGAATGGAGCTGGGGAAGGGTCTGCAGAGTCAGACCTCTGAGGAACAGCTGAGGGAGCTGGGGGGGGGGCTCAGATTTGAGAAAAGGAGATCTCGGGACCTTCTTGCTGTCTTCAACTCCCTGAGAGGAGGGTGGAGATCAGACTCTTCTTGCAGGGAACAAGGGACTCGACGAGGAAATGGCCTCAAGCTGCACCAGGGGAGGTTCAGGACATCAGGAAGAATTTTTTAATGGAAAGGATGGATAAGCACTGGAACAGGCTGTCCAGGGCAGGGGTGAAATCACCATATCTGGAATTGTGCACGAAACAACTGGACCCAGCACTCAGTGCTCCAGTCTGGTTGACAAGGTAGTGATTGGTCACAGGTTGGACTCAATGATTTTGGAGGTATTTTCAACCTTAATGCACGATAAAAAGAGTAAAGAAGAGCATTGAAAAACACCTTTGCTAATCTTTTTAATTTAAAATGTTTAATTACATTTTTAGACATTAATTTATGTTTGCAGTTACACTTTTCAAAAGGTTGTGCATGTCAGCATCGGGCTGCTGAAATAAAAGCTTCCAGCAGGGTTAAAACTGGGAGCACAGATAGTAAATATGAATTGATCCTTTTTAGTAATGAATCATCTACTTTCATCATTAAAATGAAAAGAAACACAGTTTATTTGTTGTTGTTTGATGGCTCTGGTAGTAACCAAAGAAAAAAGAACAAACCTAGTACAATACAAAATATGAAACCAAACAGTGATTTCAGACATTGCCTCAGTGGGCTGATTAACTATTTGCAAATGGTTAAACATGCAGAAATGTAGGCGATAGTCTTTGTTTTATCTTAACAATAAGGCCAGTGGAGCTTCATCTTCATAAACTGCTGAATAGAAGTATATTGCATACCCTTCAACTTAGAAAATTAAATAGTGCTCTAATTAAAATGCTAAGTAATAACACCAGGCAGTAATTCTTATCTGGTTTAAATGAAGACAAAAGATATTTCTGAAGTGGAAGTTTGATGCTGATGCAACATTCCCCCCCCCCCCCCATATATTTATACAGCTTAAGATTTATTTGTTTCCTTGTGATGCTTTTTAGCATGTACCTCAAATCTTTACTTATCATACCTATTAGGTGGTGGAACTAATTAATAAGAGAACAATTCTGCTGCAATGGAGGTTATTTAGATTTTAGTTTAAAGCAGTAAAAATGCACCTATAACCTCTTGATATAATTTCACATCTCTAGAAGGAATCCTGTGGATTAGCAAAGGAAAGCAGACAGTTGGCACTGGTGATCCAGTGGCTAAAGAGCTGCAAAATTCGGAGTAATTTCTCCACTAATGATGTAGCTAAAGCTGTTTGGTGGCCTGAGGTGCTGGTTCTGGGAAGCATCAGAGCTGTCTCTAAGAAACTAGATGAAGCCAAGAGCAGCATTTACTCTTACTAACACTCAACATTTTAGCTGCTGCTGATTTTAAGTTCCTTTGAGAAGTACTGGTTCCTCGAATTAATTGTTTGTGTTCCAGAGTGTGTGCGCTTCAAACTCGCAGGGAATTGATTTCCTCATCCTCAGTTCCCACCCCCAGGCTTTCTGAGATGAATTAGGAGTGGGTGACAGCAAAATTTAAATGTGTTATCTGAGTGTGTGTGAAGCAGCTTGAGAAATTGAAACTATGGATACTTCTGCACTCTGTATTATAAGAGAGGTGTGAAATGATCAGAGGATATTAACAGAATTTCTTTAAAAATCTTACAGAAGAGGCAGTGCTCCGGAGAACTCTGTGGGATATGGGATGGGACTGCATGTACCAATTAAATCCACAGTGCCAATAGCTCACAGCAGCTCTGCAAATCTGTGCTGTTTACAGGAACCAGGCAGTAAAACAAAAAAAAACCAAAAAAAACCAAACAAACAAACAAAAAAAAAAGGCTTATTGGAATTACAGTTTCAAATGTGATACCCTGGGATTTTTTTCTGCTTTTCAAAGCCTTGATTCCATAGACTTAGGGGGTTGTCTTGGACCTGTCTTAATTCATCTTGTGGCCTCTTCCTTTTGTCTCTGCTTAACTTGCACAGCTGAGGTGGAAATAAGTGATGGTGGAAGCACAGAAACAGCTCAAACTGTGTTTTTTCTGCCAGGTGGGGTGTTGGGACAGGGATATTTGATAACTACAGATAACTGAATCTGAGCTGCATAGCATGATCTTGGCTTTCCAATAGCTGGGGGAAGGTCGTGGACAAGTATAATTGTTACCTAACATTTCACTTGATTTCTTTTATGAAGAGTTTTCATAACCTGAAAGTTATTGATCTGTCACATCAGAAACCTCCTTCTCCAAAGTGAATGGAGATGTGCACCAGGAAAATTACCTGATGGAAAGTGGATATTTTCTTTGAAGGGGATTCTGTCTTTTGTCTCAGGAGCAGTGCAGAGAGAAACCTTGTATGTTTATCCCCTGGAAATATGGAATATACAAAAGATCTGGTTGGGAGTCAAGTTATCTATTTTGTTATCTTAGGTAAAAACAAGCTGGACCTGCTGAGATCTGAATCTGATTGCAGATATGGAGTGTTTTGATGACATGTAATGAGCCTCTTTAGGAGACTTTTGATCTGCAACTGACAGATCTGAGAACCCAGGAAGCATGTGAGTGTTTTTTCTCTTTTTGAGGGAAGTGTCAGAGGGGCTGAGAGATTCCCCCTTATATTGTGAAGAGATCTAGCTGATGATTGTACTAGGAAGATAAAATTAAATATTTACAATGAGAAGTCTTATTCCCCTTCTCCAGGATTTCATTATTCAGGCTAGAAGAAGAGAATTTTGGTTTCTAACCCAGCACCAAAAATGTCACTGTACTTCTACTTCAGGCCCAAAGCAAAGCAAAGCAAACAAAACGCAGATCTCTCACTCTTCAGGGCCAACACAATTATGAGTTGTAGAATTACAAGATGTCTCATACCTTTTCTTGCAAAGTATAATGGGTATAGGCTTTCCTTATCCTTATTCTTATCCTTATTCTTATCCTTATCCTTACACTTTCCTCATCCTTTTCCTCTTGTGAACTACCAAAATCTTCCCCACTCTCACGCAGGCAGCTCTGAACAGGGAGCATCATTGCACAGAAGAAATATGATTTAATGAGGGTCTAGGACAGCCTGCAGTGCTGAAACATGCTGCTGAGGCTGGCAAGCATATCTGCCACTGCCTACACACCACCAGAACATTTTCTCTCTTTTCCTTCTGCCTTCCTATGCTTTTTCCTCCCCTGGCCCCTCCCTTTCCCCTTCCCATGAAACATCCCATATGCCGTTTCATGCAATCCGTAGGTTCTGCTCTGCGCCATCCCCAAATTCTCCTCCCTTGCTCCAAGTCTGATATCACCAGGGCCATCATCACCCTTAAGCTTCATGACATTGCCAGGAGAGAGTTGCCTTCACCTCGGTGGGCTTGGATGAGCCAGAAGAGGAGTGGGGACAGTTTGTGTTGGGGTTGGTGCCTCCTGTCTGATGAGCTGAGTGTGGTTTTTGAAGTGAAATGTGTGTTGAGGTAAGGACAAGGAGAGATGTGCAGCAGAGGATACCAGAACACTTCCAGTCACCATAATATACTTGTTCCTGGTAGGGGGAACTCACTCCTGGAAAATAGAAAAGGTGGAAGTCTGGGAAAGCAGAAGTCAAGGTGAGACCTGGGACCCCTCAGACACACCTGAACACAGGGAGCCACGAGCCTCCCCTGCTCTGCTCTGTGGGGTTGGGTTGGCTTAGGCAAATAATGTCCCAGGGACACAGTGCTTGAATCAAGTGTTAGGTATCTGAGAGCTCTGGACAGACGCAGGAGAAAAAGGCTGTATCCAAAACAGCAGCCACCACCAGGAGACAGAAATTATTGTGGACAACTGCAAAACTGGATTATGGAGTTGGTGCTGTTCTCAGGCCAAGTGAGCAAGATCAAAATGCATAAAGGAGAGGAGGGTGTCTCACAAAATCAGGGGCATGTTATCCTATGGAATGCATGAATGAGGCCAAGCAAAGAAACAGAGGAACCAAGCATGGAAAGGTAATTCTGCACATCCAAAAACTGCTCTGAAGAAGAAAAGGTGGAGAGGCCATGAAGGACTGCTTGAACAAGCCACCTATAGCAACCCATCTTGGAGTATTTAATCAGGCACCGGTAGCTTGGAAGGACTTTTCCCTGAGCAGTACTCAAGGAGCTCCATGGGGAATTCAAGTGTACAATAAATGTCTCCAGAGCTTCTGTCCATGTGTCCTGATCATTAGCCAAGATAGAACGGAAAGAAGTCTCAAAGTGGAGATGAAAATCTCTTGGCCCCTGGTGAGAAGGCGAAGGTAACCAGCACGGACATTTGGGCGCCTTCAGCACTGGCTGATGGAGGCTGGACACAAGCGGAGGGAAATGGGCAGACCTGGCCATGAATGGAGAAATGAACATGGGATAAGCGTGGGTGGAGAGGAATGATGCTGATCTGTGGGGACAGGGGAGGGAATGGAAGAACCCTAAGAGTGGATGGAGGGAAAGGGAACGAACCTGAGGGCGCAAGGGGCTGACCTGGCATAATGTCTATTGCACTCAGAAACCTTTCCAGTCTCCAAAGCCCCTTCCCTCCTCAGGATCCCACCTTCTGCCCCGAGACACACCCCAAGGGCCGCAGACATCCCCGCCCCTTCCCCAGCTCCCCCGGGAGATCCCCCGCGCCCCCCCGGCTCTCTCCAGCCCCCGCCCCCGGTCCGCCCCGGTCCGCCCCGGTCCCGCCCCTCCCGCCGCAGCCGCCGCGGGTCCGGGCCTGGGCAGGCGGCGGCGGGGGCGCCGCGCCGGGCGGGCGGCGGGGCCATGCTGGGCAAGGACTACATGCTGGCCATCGTCCTGGTCAACTGCGACGGTCAGCGCGGCGGGCAGGGCGGGCACGGGCACAGCCTGCGGCTCAGGGGCGGGCTGCAGGACCGGGGATGAGTAGTGGGGCCGGGGTCGGGTTGCGGGACCGGAGTTGGGTTGCGGGACCGGAGTTGGGTTGCGGGGCCGGGGTCGGGCTGTGGAGCCGAGCCCCGAGGGTGGGAGCGGCGGCCGCGCCCGGCGCTGTCCGCGGTGCTGATCGCGGCCCGCGGCGTCCGGCCCGGCCCGGCCCCGCCGCTCCCGGCCCCGCCAAGGTCGCCGGGAGCCCCCCCCCGCTTCAGGGGCACCTCCATATCCAGGTGTCCCCACCCCCGGAGCACCCCCTCCCTCCCAGCCCCGGGACCGCGCCCGGCCCCGCAGCCCGGCCGGTCGGAGCGCGCCCCCCCCGCGGGCCGGGCTCGCTCCGGCCGTGCTGCGCCACTCGAGTCGGTGCCCGCGCAGGGCGGGGGGTGCGGGGCCACGGCTACGGCACCCTCCGGCTGCAGCCCCCGGGGCGCAATCCCCTGCTGGCCCCCGGCATCTGTCCGGCCCCTTTCCCGGCCGAGGGTCACGGCTGACCTGGGTGCCCCGCAGGGTTCCCGGCCTGGCAGGCCCAGGCTGCCCCTGCCCTCTGTGCCCTGCCGGGGTTCCACTGTCCCCCCGGAGCCAGCGAGGCAGTTCCCTGCACTGGGGTCTGCCACTGCTGCAGCCTCGCTGGCATCGTGCCATGTTCCCTCGCCAGGCTCCTCTCCCAGCCCATGCACCCAGAGGCCACCGCAGGACCCTTCTGCTGCTGGGCAAAGCTGTTGGCTCCTCAGCGCAACCGGGGGATCTTTCTCCCCACCCCGTATCTCACACACTCCCTCTCTGTACAGACAACCTCTGGAGCGACCAGAGCCTGGAGACAGACCCTGACCTCCCTCCAGGCTGGAGGAAAATCTGTGATTCCCTGGGTACCTATTACTGGCATGTGCCAACAGGCACAACACAGTGGCAACACCCTGCACGCAGCACTGGCCCAGGAGGGCACACGGACGCTGATGGAGAGGAGACACTCCAGGGAAGGGTAGGGAATGTGGGCAGGGTTGTGAGGGCTGGTGCTGGATTCCACCGCAGGCAGAATCCTGCTGAAGGGCCCTCTGGGCATGACTGGTCCAGCCTTCCCTTGGAGCACCCTGTCTGTGTGGGGTTAAGCCCTTTGAAAGGCTCCGGCAGGCTCATCCTAGCTGTACTCATCTTGACTACCCAAGACATTCACAAGCTTGTTGCAGACCTGGAAGGGAGGGCTCCTACCTGGTGCCTCCTGACTGCCTCTCTTGCAGCTGTCACCGCTTTCCTCTTCCCTCCCAGGAATGCCAGGGCTCTGCAGGGAAGCACTCGGCAAAGGACCGGCCCATTCCCAGCCCCATGGCTTCGCTGTCCCGGAGGTAGGGCTGTCCTTGTGCTTTGCTGGCTTGTTTGTGGGATCCCTGAGCAGTGCTGGGTGCTGGGCCCTGGTGCTCCCCTCCAGAGCAGTCCCCCATGCTGAAACCAGCAGGACCATGCTGGGCACCCCCATGGGATGCTTCCCAGATGGTGACATGGGGGTCTGCTGGTTCCAGGGCATCCTGATGCTTCCCTGGGTGCCCCAGGAGCACGCAGAGGGAGCTCCCCCTCACTACCCCATCCCTCTGCAGGCACTCACTGTCCTGGCATGGAGATGAGTTCCAGCACAGCGCAGAGCCCGGCTCCAAGGTACTGCACCCGCCAGCTTCACTGCCGCATCGTGGGCTGTGCTGGCAGAAGAGGAGGAGGGTGGCAGCTGGCAGGGACGTGGATGGGAGCCAGAGCAGGGGTGACCACTCTGGCACGGTGAGGCGTGCGGGATGGAGGTGGCTGTGCCAGTGGCACTGAAGCCCCCCCGTGTCTCTGCTCAGTGCTTTGCTGTGCGCTCTCTGGGCTGGGTGGAGATCCCCGAGGAGGACCTGGCACCTGGCAAGAGCAGCATCGCCGTCAACAACTGCATCCAGCAGCTCTCCAACAGCAAGGGCCAGGGCTCTGCGGAGAACCAGGGAGAGGTAAGAGCCTGGGATGGTGCTGCCAGGCAGGTCCCACCTCAGGGCCGCTGTTGCTGAGGCTGGACCAGGCTGGAGGGGAGCAGTTGGTAGAGTCAACTCTACACAGCGCATCCATCCAATGGTCCCAGGTGTAGAGCAGGTGGGTCTGGCAGGGCGGTTCCCTGGGAACAGTGCCAGGGTGCCTGGGTGGTCCCCACACAAGGGAATGGAAGCTGGGAAGGGCAAGGGAGGAACAGAGCTGACCCCACAGTTGGGGCAGAGCAGGCTGGTGGGGAAGGGGTTTGCCTACACAGGGGCTGGGTGCTGGGGAGGCCCAGGCTGTCTGCCAGGCTGAAGGAACCACTGCCCCTCTGCAGGGCCAGGACCTAGTGATGATTCTGAAGAAGGACACCATGAGCCTGGTGGACCCCCTTGACCGCAGCCTCATCCACCGCCAGCCCATCCTCAACATCCGTGTCTGGGGTGTTGGCTGCAACAACGGCAGGTGCCAGGGGCGAGGGCAGAGCTAGGGGCCAGGGGGGTGGCTCTGCCCACGTCGGGGGAGGCACCCCAGCAGTGACCTGTCCCCTCTCCTCCCTCCCGACTGCCACCCCGGCTGCAGGGACAGGTAAGGGGGCACAGGGCTGGGCGGCAGTACAGGCAGGGGGCTGCCTCTGTCGGGGTCTCACTGGCTTGCTCATGGCCTTGCAGAGACTTTGCCTTCGTGGCCAGTGACAAGGACACCTGCGTCCTCAAGTGTCACGTCTTCCACTGCAATGTGCCTGCCAAGGGCATCGCCAAGGCTCTGCATGAGATGTGCTCCAAGGTGGGACGCAGGGGCCCCGGAGGGTGTGAGCATGGCCGGGGATCTCGGGGGTGAGGGGAGGCTCCGGGATCCCCGTCTCTTGCAGATCGTGGCCGAGCGAGCTGTAGCGAGCAGCAGGCTGCCCCGCGCCGCCACGCTGGAGCCGATCTCTGCCGAGGACCTGCCGCTGCAAGGTACCGTCCCCCAGCACTGCCGCCTGCTCCCCTTGCCCACAGTCCGCCTTTGAGCCAGAGCCCTCCGGCTTGTCCGGCTGCTTCTCCGGGGTCCTTGGGGATGGGGGGGACACAGCAGGGAACACAGGGGTAGCCCCACCTCTCCCGTCCTGGCAGTGGATATCCTGGAAGCCGTGAGGCAGTCGATGCAGACCTACGAGGCGCTGTACATCGGCAGCCTGCCCGTGCCCAGGGCCATGGGTAAGCGCCGCTGCCCCTCCGCAGCTGGGGACGCCGTGCCCTGGCACCGAGCGGCTTCTGCCCGCACCACGCCCGCAGCCGGGGCCGATGGGCTGGGGTGTCCCTCTCCCTAGGGATGGATGTGTTGAACGAGGCCATCGAGAAGCTGACGAGGCGCCCCGGGCGGGAGAACTGGACGCCCTCCCTCATCCACGTGTCCGACACGGCCATGAGGGTGCACCCGGCGCAGGTGGGGAGGGCACAGGGGGCTGCGGCCGGAGCGGGCACGGCGCTGCCCCCGGCAGAGCGGTCCCAGGGGGCGGCAGGGCTGCCCGGGCGGCGGCCAGGGGTGGATGGGCCCGGGGGTCCCCGCAGGAGCCCGAGGAGGCGGCGCACATCTGGGAGTGCCAGGTGCGGTACGTGACCTTCCTGGGGGTGGGCCGGGACGCGCACACCTTCGCGCTCATCGTGGACACGGGGCGACGCTTCCAGTGCGCGGCCTTCTGGTGCGAGCCCGACGCCGGCACCATCTCGGAGGCAGTGCAGGCCGCCTGCATGGTGAGCACGGCGGCACCGCGGTGGGCACGCCCGGCCTGGGGAGCCCGGGAGTGAGCCGGTGCCGTGTCCCCCGCGCCGCCTCTCGTGTCCCCGCAGGTGCAGTACCAGAAGTGCCTCGTGGCCGCCGCACCGGGGGCGAAGGCGAAGAGCGTGGCGGGCCGGGGCCGGGCCGGGCCGGCGGCCGCGGGGGACGCTGCCCGCGGGGCAGCCAAGGCGGGGGGGGGCGGAGGCGGAGCGGGGCCCGGGGCCCGCAAGCGGGGACTCTTCTCCTTCCTGGAGGTGTTCCGCCTCCGGCGGGCCCTCCTGCACAGCCCGTAGCGGGCGGGGCCGGCCCGGGGCCGGGGCCGGAGCCGCCGGGAAGGGAAGGCGCCCCCGGCCCCGGCCCCGAGCGCGGCCCCCGGCGGGGCGGGAACAGGCCCGGCCCCGCCCCTCCCGCCCCTCCCCGCCCCGCGGGCCGGAACGGGCGGGGCCGGGCGTGACGTGGCGGGATGGCGGAGTCCTACGTGAAGCCGGGTGAGGGGGCGCGGGGCGCGCGCGGCACTTCCGGTGCGGGGGGGTCCCGGTCCCGGGACACCGCGGGGCCGCCCTCGGGGACCGGGGGTCCGTGTGGGGGGGGGGACGCCGGGGCCGTACCGGGTGCGGCGAGCGGCGGGAGGGACGTGCCGGGAGGGTCCCGCCCGGCGGGGGAGGCTCCTCGGTCTCCTCCGGTCTCACGGCGCCCTTCGCTGCTGCAGGGAACCAGGAGCGCGGCTGGAACGACCCCCCCCAGTTCTCGTACGGGCTGCAGGCGCAAGCCGGGGGCTCCCGCCGGACCCCGCTCACCCGCCGGGCCCCCGCCCCGCCCGCGGGAGCGCCCCCAGGTCAGCACCGCGGAGCCCCCACCGCCCCTCGCCCTGCCCGGCCGGGCCCGGCGGAGCCCCGGGGCCCGGGACACCGCGGCCCCGCTCCCGCAGCCGCGGTGCTGGCGGCGGCGCAGCCGGGGCCCGGTGCCAGCCGGGTCCGGGCTGACGGGCTCTGCCCCGCAGGTGCCCCCCCGGGCCCGCCCAGCGCCCCCGCCGGCCCCGCGCCGCCGCCGCCCCGGGCGCTGGGGCCGCCCCCGCAGGGCTCCGCCGGCGCTGCCCCGCGGGCCGAGGGCCGGCCGGGCGCGGCGTGCCCGGAGCAGGAGGAGTGCAGCGTGTCCGCCGACACCGTCCTCGCCCCGCTGCGGGCAGCCCTGGACGCTTGCCGGGCCACGGTGCAGGTGAGGCTGCGGCTCCGCGGTGCCGAAGGGACGGCCGGGGCGGCCAGGCTTGGGCTGCCGGTTTACAGGAGACCTGAGTGGGGGAGAGAGCCGCCCCTGCCCCGGGGCTCCCCGGAGCTGGTGGGGGCACATCCCCCTCACTCCCAGCTCACCTCTGCTTCCAGAAACAAGTGTGCAATGACATCGGGCGGCGGCTGACAGTGCTGGAGGACGCGTGGGCTCAGGGGAAGCTGTCGGCACCAGTGAGGAAGAGGATGAGCCTCCTGGTGCAAGGTATGGGCTGAAGGGGGCTGCAGTCGCAGCAGCAGCAGGCCCTGGGGCAGAGGCACCCGCGGGACGGTGGATCCCGCGCCCCTGATGGGGCCCCTGTCCCAGCAGAGCTTCAGCAGCAGCACTGGGATGCAGCTGATGAGATCCACCGCTCGCTTATGGTGGACCACGTGAACGAGGTGAGCCAGTGGATGGTGGGCGTCAAGCGCCTCATCGCTGAGACGAGGGAGCTGCCCACCGCAGAGACGGACGGCAGCGCTGACACTGAGCCCGCGACCGAGCCGGAGCCGGAGCCGGAGGAGCCCTGACACCAGGGACGGGCTGTGGACTGTGAGCGGGGCAGCCCCTGCCCAGGGCCGCCGGCAGGAACAGAGCCCCTGCTGCTGGAGGGAGTCTGGGCACCCCCTCTGCCTCCCAATCCTCATCCAGGAGAAGGGGATTTTAATCATTGCGACATTTTAGTGGCGATTCATTATGTTTAATAAACAGCACCGACCTGCCCGCTCCCACAGTCTCCCTGAGGATTCTGGCACTGACGAGGTGACAGGGTCAGCAGGAGATGGGATTGCTGGGTGAGGCTGTGGCTGCTTCATCAGGCTTGGCCATGCCAAGGGAAGAATTCAGCATCTGGCTGGAGCAGACAGTACTGTGTGTCCCTGCTGCACTGGCTGGCAAAACTCAGCCCCTCATCTGCAGTGGGGGCCCTGCAGCAGCCCCAGAGCCCAGCCCTTCTGCAGGAGGGGTGGAGGCTGGCTGCAGAAGCCGATGTGCCAACAGCCTGGCATGACCAGGGTTTGTGCTGCAGCCACAGCCCTGGCTACCATCTGGGCTCCTGCTGTCCTGGCACAGCTCAGAGCTGCGTCTGGAATCCAAGAGACCTCGGGGCCCTCGGGGAGGTTCAGGACAGACACACGCCCAGTCAGGTGTTAACTGACTGTTAAGGTGCTGTTCTCCCCATATTCACGGGATGGCCTCACCAGCTGCTTCCACCACAGCTGAGGAGCCCCAGGCCCTCACCACCCGCCCTGCAGGGTCACCCTCTGCACCCTCCTGGTGCTGCTCACCTCCCCTCCCTGGGGTGAGGACCCCGCTGAGTCCTGACAAAGACACACTCCATGTTAGCACAGGGGTTTCACGGTGTTTATTGATCAAGCATGAGCTCCTAGGCAATTGCACCAGCCACTTGTGCTAGAGCCTGAGGTGTCACACGTCCATCCCCAGCATTAGAGAGGGCTGCAGCCAGCTGGTCATGGTGCCAGCACCTCCACGAGGCCCAGGAACAGGCCCAGCCATGGCCTGGAGACGAGGAGATGGAAACTCAGATGTCCATCTCAAACTGGTCTTGATCTGCAAGGGCATGGATGGATACAGGACCAGGGTTAGGATGGGGCTGGCTTGGCAGACATGGGCAAGCAAAGGGAGCAGGAGCTGGAACTGGGGCCAGGTTGGGATCTCGCCTTGTCCCGTGCCCCAGGCAGGTGGTCCGTGGGCAGGGGCCGTGGCCCTGGCCTGCTCACCTGGCATGGCCTCTTCGCTCTCATTCCGCTCCTTGAGCTCCTCCAGCTTGACGAGGCTGGACTGGGCCAGGGATGTGA